AGATCTTTCATACAAAAGAATAAACTACTAAGTTGTTATCTTCAGTAGAATTGAATAACTAAGAAAAAAAATACTTTAACTATATCAACTATGGATTAGTTAAAGCCTACAAATCATAAAATATATAATTGAGGAAACAGGTTTTCTTTTCTATTGTAAGTTCATTTTGTAATAACTGTATGAATAATTTGGTTTTTTAAAAATGAAAAAAAAAATTGGCTTACAATATATGCGGAAGAATGCTCAATTAACATTTCTGATTTATCATTCCAACAATAGGCAAACAATTGTGATTTCTGATAATTAAATTGGATTTTTATTCAGCTCTGAAATTTACTTAATTACAAGCAAATTTAATGGAGTTTTATGTTTAAAAAAATGATCTGTCCAAACAAATTAAATAATTTACCAATCTAAGCTCATATTTATTGATTCATCCAAAATTCTTGCTGATTGATCTATTCCACTGACGTTGAAACTTATGAATTATGAAAAAGTCATAGGATAGGGAAGAATAAAAAGAGCATCATGTTTTATTAGCAAGATAAGTTCATGTTTTAAAAAATCTGGAAGATATGGATTCAATTAGTAATAACAATAATAATAATAAGTATTGCTATTATTATCGAATCTTTTTCAATGATGCAGTTATGAAATGCATAATTGCTTGAACTCTTCGAACCGTAGATTATGAAAGTAAGAGTAAGTTATTTTATTTCGCTAAATATGTTTCAAGCAAAAGTCTCATATATCAAATTATATTACTGAATATCTTACGGGTGTGTTAGAAATGGTTTTGAATAAGTATATTATTAATCTAGTATTGAGTTATTCTTCTACTGTTTATTACTTGACAAATATGCTAGTTTATAGAAAGTTGGTTAGGCTTGAATGAAGGAAGAAAACATAAATTAAGGTAATGACTTCCTTTTAAAATATTCAGTGCTGTATGAAAATATTCATATTGAATGATGATATAAAAGTATTGTAGAGAAGCTGTGATTCTTTAACACCATTCAGCATATATCAAATCAATTGATAATTGTCTCATAATAACTTCAACCTGTAAAAGAGTATCTTTTATACTCTTCATCACTTTCGATAGATCACACATAAAAGAAAACCATATTAGCTAAATTTTAAGCAACTGAAATTAAATTAATTTCAACATATCATTCAGCAGTTTATTCCAAGCTTCTTAGGGGAAACAACCAAATATCTAGATCAGCACTCAACTATTAGAAATCTAATTGTTCAAATTTAAATAGCATTATTATGAAATATTTTAGTGAATCCAATAAACTAGTTGCTTATTTTATTTAAAATAAATTTTCTTGTTCTCCACACTATTTACTTATAAGTAACTTCTAGTACGAAAAATAACTTCTCCAACATCACTGATAGATCGTTTATCACAATTGTCCAATAAGTATCCAGTTGATTGAAAACTCATACAACAACAATGGTAAATAAAGTGTGTGTTTTGTTTTGGTATAATTTCCCCATTAAAACATATATTCATAAATGTATATTATCATTAGCAATATGTTAATTTTATTCCTGTGAGATCTCACCTTATTGATTTAATGTGTTCATATTATTAACAACCAATTCAATGTAACTATACAATACTTATATTTGTTAATTAATAGAGACCAAAGCAATTTATTTAATTTTGTTCTTAATGTTCTATGTTAATAGCTTAGCAATAAAATAATAATAATGATAATAACATGATAACAATAAAATCATCGAGAGAAAAAAAATGTTTTCATATTATTATAATGATTATTTATCATAAATGGAACAAAAAAATTACCTCTTTAGAAAATCTGTCAACAATGTGTTAAATTTTTAAAACCTATAAAATTGCATTGCGATTCATTTAATTGCATATATTCGTTTATCATTTAGTTGACAATTGAATTTTTATGAAAGGTTTTGCGGATATTCTAGTAATTTAATAGTTGAATTTATGAGTCAATTGAAGCTAGATCACCATCGAAAAGCTTGAAGTGGATTGGTTGAAGTTAGACATTAATAACGTTTGATACCGGTTCAGTGGTCTAGAGTTTCGCGAAAGACTGATAGGTCCTGGGTTCGAATCTCGCGGGGCAGGATCATGCATGCACACTGTTGAAAAGTCCCATACTAGGACGAAACGGCCGTCCAGTGTTTCCAGGTTTTCCATGGTGGTTTAGCTTCAATTGACTCATGAATTCAACTGTTAAATTGAATTTCTATCTAATATCTCTATTACGATAAAATTATTTACTCAAGCTCACTGTTAAAGTAGACAAATCCTGATTTAAGATAATATTTCAGGATACTGACATGTTGTTATGGAATGTATGTTATTTCACAAGACGGATAAAACTAAATAATATTCATATTGTAATTAATGTTTTTGTTGTTGTTGTTGATGATAAAGCTCATTTTATTCTGTTTTAAAATTTCCATATCAATAAATTGAAAACAAATATAAGTTAAATATATTTGATGGATTACACTTCAAACAACATTACAATACAGTCATACAAATAAATCATAGTTATTATTAGAGAAAAAATTACAATCATTTAGGCTAAAACTGCTATCATAAATAAAATTTACCATGTGTACTAATCAAAGTAATTACTACGAATAAAAATTGATGGATGTAAAGTTTTGCGATTTAGAAGAAGACAACTGAACATTGTTATTCCTTTGAATCAATAAAACATCGGTAAATACAATGGTATTAATAATATTCCTCATTATATGAAAGACACGTTTCATAATTGTCAACGACTGATTATTTCACGTTATTACTTAACAACATACTTTATTGACAAACAATCAGTGTATATCTTCAATAGGTGTCTATTTTGTAATATTTTAATATAACAATTAACTGATTTGGTGGAGAAAAAGTTCCTATATTCAGATTCAATAAGATTCTTTAGACATTACAATTGGTTAATAGTTTCTGTTAGCCGAGTTAATATTTTCTAGGGTTATTTACTTTGTTTATACAACTGGTTGTGACTTTCAAGGTGCACCTATAGTTAGCATCAATTTCAATACTGTTCCCATTCCTCTTGGTTATATCACTTTATAACTGCATGATATATAATTTGATACTATTTCAAACTAAAAGACATTGAAGTTTTTAAATTTCTAAAACTAAATATAACACATTGTGCACTATTTAGCAAAAAGTGTTTGAAAACTCCTTACTGAATTATAGTTTATTTTTACTTCATTTTTATATAAGAAAGCTTTAATACACATATTTGCTTATTGTCTGAACACATCGCAAATGCCATTTGTGGAGTACACATGATATTTGTATGCTATCAGTTAAGTATTAAAATTAAGATAACACTCATTTGAAATAACATTTAGGTTTAATAAATCAATAACCTCACCTCACTAGTAGGATATAAGTGTTTCTTGCACAGACATACCTTTCAACAAACTTCATTACGATACATCAAAATGTTACATTTGATCTTTCTGTTATTCAAGTCTACTTCATTGTTTAATTTTTTTTCTAAAGTATGGTTCACTCACAATCTGAGTTATTATCTGTTGTGAAAGTCACCTAAAAGTAAAAAGAAAATGGTTTGATTACGGTCAATTTTATTAAAACTGCAGAAACTTCATTATAAATAAGCTTACATTTGAAGTTCTCTTGTCTTTTTTGTTTTATCCCTGCTTATAAAAACGAAACAGTTTCTTCTGTCACGCACAAACCATAAATGACCTCAGAAAATTTGAAACACTTTTTCCTTATTATTATTATTATTATTATTATTATTATTATTATTATTATTATTATTATCATACGTTTTACTTTATCTAGCAACTTAGAATCTTTTTTTAAAACATAACTTTATTAACATATTACACAGATTCTAAATTTACACACTAGACTGCTTTTCTGTTTCATGGTTATTTGACAGCATGCAACTTGAATTCTTAACAAAAGGTTATACATTTTCATGAATAACATCTTTAAAAAAGAAATTCAATTTCTTAAAGCTTTAACTATCAGAAAGAAAATTAAATAAATACCATTATCTAATATGAAGAAAATATGATCAGTTAATCCATTAAAAAAGGGAATGTGAAAACTCATAAGGTCATCAGGATGAATTTCCTTACACTTAAACATTTAGGTTGATTAAAATTGAATCTAACATTGACTTAGTTTGCTCCCTTGTCGATTGAAAACAGGATATATCAAGTTGATTAATCTTTGGCTAATTTAAATAGATCAGATTTGAATGGCCTTATTTGAAGTCTAGTGAAACTTTATACTCACCTTAGAATTCAGTAGGTAAATATCAATATTTCATACCATGTATTATGTGTCTTAGTAAAACCATTTTGTAATCAAAGTTTCCCTAAGAAGATGGTACTCGGTATATCGATAGCAATCTTATACGATTACTATCTTTATATGTTTTGTCAAGAGTAGAAATATTTATCATTTGTTGTGAAAACTGTACTGTTTCAGTGTCTATAGGTAAAGTGTATGTACATTACTAGCATACACTGTAGTGTACTCTTGATTTTCAACTAAGTAATATGGATTTCGTGGAATAAAGGCTGATGGTTGCTGTTATCTTTACCTTCATCATTTTTCCATTTTTATAAAGCCGGGTATTACCACAGTAAAAGTCACTATATAATCGTACACAGAGTGTACTTTACGTACAAAATATAAATATTGAGGAGAATGTTATCCTCATTATCTTCATCTTGTTGTTTATACACACAGCAAACAGTAATTCAATCAGTTATATTTAGATAATTACCCTATGAAGTCCGAATGTTTTTGTTCAGATTTAATTTGTTATCTCTATTAGAAGCATTCAAGGCTCAACAATCCTTCCCAGTTAACTTCTTCGACAATTCTAACGACCTCTTGTCATGAAAGTAAACAGATAGGTTTAATTCATTTTACTCTAATTTAATTATCGATTATTTCATTCATTTTGATTTTTATGCAGATAAACGATGTCAGTGTTCTTCTTGGTTCAATTATATCAAGGCGCGAAATGCTGGAACAGTCCCAAAATGCAGCTAAAATTTTATTTCCCTCATGTGTAAGTAACAGTGACATGTTTTTTAAGCGATAAATATGAAGACGTCAACGTTTCTAGTAATGAAACGGATGAGCTTATTAGTAACAGTTGTAAATGCGTTAAGAAATCACAGTCAAGACTATTGTTCGCTAGTACTGATAAGTGTTTCATGTTGACTATTATTACCAATCATTGATTATTTAGAAAAAACCTATGAACCTCTGGATTCAGTGGCTAAATGGACAACGTGATTACGTTTGAAACAAACGGTAATGGATTCGATTCCTGGAGTGAACGTCAACTATTGGATGCAGGTGCATCCAACCGACGATTCTCAGTCAGAACGAAACGTGTGTCCTAGATTACACCGTTACCCATCATCCAACTTTGCTTATAAAGACCTATGTCATTGGTGTAAACATTTATCATTATCAAGAAATTTCAAACAGAATACTGCTTCAAAATTAGTGATTAAATTGTGTATAATTGCTTCTAAACTTGGCATTTTACTAATAGTTTATGAGTCAGATCATGAATTAGTACCCTGACTGTTGTTTAACTGCTGTCAATTGAATGGTTCAAAGTTCAATTATTTTTTATCCAAATGTTCTTTTAGTCTGTTGATATCTATTATTACATTAAATTAGCACCAATGAAATTAATTAATACTTTTACATTTTTTATTTTGTACTACTTTTTACATCTTTAACTCTATACAGAAATTTATTGATATCGTTAGTAAAGTCTATTATGTAGGATGCGAAATAAAAATTCTATTTGGAATCGATATGTTTAGATATTCTTATTTAATGTTCTAACGAACATTTGCTTCCCAAAAATAATTATAATTACTCGTAAATGAAATGATTCGTACAATGCCAAACTTCCAATATGATCTACATATGATTTTTTTATATTTCTATATTCATTTATATTCAGTTTGATTCTTTGAGATTGTAGGTCTAGGTTTATGAGATTTTATAAAAGATATCAGATGACAGTTTTTACATTTTATTGTTTATATTTCTTTCTTTTTACAGTGGTTAGCTGAACTGGTTATTTCTAATAGACATCAACCATCAGTAAACTGTCCTCTTGAAGTACTTATTCGTGAAATCAGGTAAAAAATATGTGGTTTATTTTTTATACACTGGCTTACATTATTTTATTCAGTGAATTGATTCTTTCCCCTCAAAACGTTCCGTAGATACATAAATTTTTCCACTTCTACTTATATTGCTACTACGTTTACTACTCTGGTACTTGTATCAATAATTTTATGTAGTTGTGTTAATTTGATGTAGCAGATTGAACCAATATACATGTATACTAGATCCGACGTTACACTTTATTGATTGGAAGACAGACGTGCATATATTTAGTATTTAACACAAAAGCTTTGGAGATAACTTATTCCTGTCAGCAAGCTGTCTATAAAATCTGATTCCTTCTTCATAATCTCATCTTATTAGCTGTGGTTACAAGAACTCCATCCAGATTTGCCTAATAAAGACAGAGTATAGAACTGAAAGACTTTGTATATTAACTGACAGAGAAGCTCACCAATACTCACTTTATCTTATTGATCCATTCATGGATCCAGAATTGTTTTTCTTCACTTTATTAAATTATGACTCAGTGGTATGCATTATCCAGCTTTTATACTAAATGGATCCATGTATGAATACGAAGTATGTGTTGAGATTTATTAAGCAAAGAAGACAGACTTATGCAAACTCACTTCATATTCTCCTATTTCGATTAACCCAAGAGAAACAAATTTATACTACTTTCTGTACCTTAATTTATGAAATTAAGCTTTGGTCATAAAAATGACAATGTAACCATCGTATTATGCTAAATGACAAATGAAGATAAACTCTACCTATTGAGAAAGCAGGAACATTTCATAATGAGTATAATAAAAGTTTACTAACATGGTTCACGAAAAGTTATTTTTAATATTTTGGAAACCGATTCATATATATGTATATATATAACCATACTTAAGTTCGATGTTTTCATTACCAGGTCAGTGTGAACTCTCACGACACTCTTCTGGTTGGGAACTTTATTAGTGAGTGTTATTACCGTCGAATTTTGTTTTATTTTACTTTTTTTAAATAGAAACTCAACTGATCAAGAGATTAGTGTTAAAGAAGTAACGACAAGTTTTATTAATCAATTAGCATCTGTTAGCAAAATTCAAAATCAGTCAAACTTCAATACAACGAACAACAATCAGTACAGTGAGCACTTTAAAAACAGTTTGGTTTGTTGTATGTACATTAAAGTTATACATAATTATTAATAACAATGTCTTAAAATACACGTAAGAGATTTATCTTTTTTTTAAAAGTAATTTTGACTTGTCATTATATGTTAATTCATTTGATTGAGTAACAGAGCATAGACACTGAGATACTGTACTTTTTATTTCGATCGTGTACATTAACAAAATTTATCAAATGTGATCACTGTTTAGAAGCTGTTAATCTTCAATCACTTCATAGTGTTTGATTGTAGGAAATCACATTAAATACAAATCGTAATAATTTAACTTACATCTGTTTGAATGAACTTTCACAGTAGAGCTGATATTAAAAAAAACAGACTATTAACATACAGAGTAATACTGATCGATTCATTCGAAGTACAAACATATTCATCATAGAAAACTACCTTTCCCTTATATATTTTCTACTAGAATACTAATATTATGTTATCAGAAGAACCAAAATATATGAGGCAAAAGATTTAATAAAATGCTATTCACTTAAAATCAAATGAAACATAAAAATACCAGACTAAATTATATCATTGTTGTACCACATTGTTTTAATTTCGATTTCCATTGTTAGTAGGAGATTTGAATACTGAAAATATTAAACCATATTAAGTAAAACTAATAATAAATTGTTTTCACAGTTCATGACAAATAAATGTTATTTTTCTAATAAAGAATTTACAATTTCCTCAATTAGTTTCCCTATATTACAAAAGTATTATGATATATATTTAGTATACTTCTATACCTAAATCTATGTTATGTGTTGATCAAAATAAATATGTTCACAAACGTTTCTATGTATAGCGAAACCTATTTACTACGGGTTAGAAGAAACTGATGGATTGTTTATTACCATATTACTGAACTCATAATAGGTGATATAATAAATGTACATAAGATAAAAGGTGTTGTTTGATTAATCCTGGTTAAAAATACTCTTTTTGCGTGTCAATCAAAAGATAAGATTAAACGTTGATATAAGGCGTATTTAAACCTGTCTAACAAACATCAATTTCTTTGAATCTCCAGCTGTGAATCAGAGTTCCAGCCCTCCCTCTGTTGGGAACGAGTGAATTAGATTTTTAGTTCATTCAGTCAAAAATTAAATTATGTATTGCTAAATAAATTATATTATCATAGGAATCTGTTAAACAAAAGAATATACATTTTCATCCATTTTCTTAAAATAAAATATACTATTAAATAAAATATGACTATATAGTTTACCCAACTTGAAACTTGATGTTTCCATCTCAGCTAAAATGTTGACTTCTACCATGATTCTAAATTTTCTTCTGAATAAGCAAATTAACCTTCTTACTTACATGCAATAATAATATATAGTTATATTTAAACAGGTCGAAAATTCTAAACAGTTGCAAAGGTAATATAAAGTAATAATGACTATTAGCTACTTAATTTTTGTTCAGTTAATAACATCTCTTCACAATAATGCTTTAGCTTATATAACAGCCATGTAATACACTTAATACGATAGACACATTTCTGTCAGTAAAAATGTAAACGTTCAAATTCTTGGTGCTGAATATGATAAGATTATTGATATCTACAGTTGTTAGAGAAGAACATTTTTAATATTATTTATGTTTGCCGCTGGGAAACATATTTTTAAACCAAGTTATTTTCAACAAATTACTCAGTTAGTCGAAAATAAAGATGAATATGTTCAGTATTAAAGCTTCCTAAGTATTCTTGATATTTGTTTTGGTCTAGCTCAGCTGATTAAGCATTAAAAATATACACAGAAATTGAAATTAATTACAAGTCGATAAATAGAACATTTTCACATGAAGTTACTTTATTCTAGAAGTTCATTGTTAAGAAGAAATGATATTGTTTCTAATTTGTTTTTTCTTCATTCATTAGTGATATCATTCGAGTTGAATAAAGACAATAAATATGGTGAATATGTTGCTCATTTTGTTGTAAGTGAACTTTAAATTGTTAATCTCAAATATATATATATATATATATATATATATATATATATATAATAGTTTATTATTTCAAAACGTTTTTAATCATTTCGACAAACAAAATTACTTGGAAGTTATTTATGATATTAAGAAACAAGAAGTGATCATAACGAGTTCATAATGAACAGTATTGTTTGAACAAACATGAGTTCTTCATACATAGCATAATATTTAGGAAACGTGCATAACATTTAAAGCTTGAAGATGAATATAATACATTGCTTGTCGTTTTGAGTGTACTTATCTATTGTGATTATTTTTTCATTTCATGTGTTTAAAACAATAAACTGTGAAAAATATATTTTTTTAAAAATGTACATTTCTTTAATAAGATCTAACGACAGTTATTCATTTGACAACTGGTAAGTCAATAGTTTTGACTTTGCATTCATACAACGCATTTGTTTTACAATACAGTACATATTAATAGCAGGGATGACTTAATAGATAAAGTGATAAAAATTATTGTTTCTAGTTTAAAAATTGTCATATAAGAGGCAATTGTTTTAATGAATGTATTTGAAAAAATTTCACTAAGTTTTAATCCATAATTTCTTTTGAATACAGCTACGAACCCATATTGCAATATTTTAATACGCGATCAATGTTAAGAAATCTCTCTCTCTCTCTCGGGAGAGAGAGAGAAAATTATATTCCTGTATATCGACTGAATTCTGTGACATCCGTTGTATGTCTTACTCCCACCTTGACAAATAAAGAGATCACCGTTCTAACATTCTAAGTTTTTCACTAGTTGCTGATAGTAGATAATAGTGACCTCTGTTCAATTATTCCAACAATTTTTTGTGTAAAAATAAATAACACGAATGGTCTTACGTTGTATGCGTTTAAACGTCTTCTTCCATAATTTCTAAGTGACAATTTTGTCCTCCGTGTCATTCTTAACAATTTGATAATGGCACCAACATTAAATTCAGAGCTGCTATTGATTCTTTCAGTTCATAAAGCTTTAACCCACTCATCAAGTTTAAGTTCAAATACATTTTACAACTGAAAAGAATTTATTGAAGGTTATTGTTGATTAAGTTTCTCATGAACTGGAATTGTCAAAGTATCAATTTTGATGATAGTAAAATCCAAATTAGACATTTTAGGTATCATGATGTAATCACAAGAACACTAGAAACATTTTCTCATATTGTAGTTCATAGTAATAACGTTTATGATCTTGGATAAATGAACTGTCTGGAAAATATATAAATGAATAGTTTCTTAAATACTTATTGACTGTATGCTCTGAGGATAGTCATCCATCAGATTTGTTTGCGAAATGGCTCATTGTGTAGTGTCGAAGTTTCTACCATATTCATTATATCTTCGCACTTCATTATTTAAGACAACAATATTAGATAATATATACTGAAAACATACGGATCGTCAACTTCATTTTAATAGTCCTCAAAGCTGACCGAATTTGACTAATCAAGATGCTAAAAAACAAGTAGACAGAGTTTTATTTGCGCAACAAGGTGCTAAAAATGTTGTTGTTTTCTCATTATATATCAAACAGAATACTCAATCAAATTTTGGCAAAAATACTAACCAGCTAAATACATCTACCTCAATCAACCAAATTCAGACAGCTTACATTAAGGTCTTTACTGAGATGTTCGCCATACCTTTTAATTTAATATTGATGCGTTTACATCTAAATTACTAACCAATTACTAAAGCGTCACAGATAATTATTTTATAGTGATAACTATTGTACTGACTAAATAATTTAAGCTATTTCATGTCGAAATCTGTGTATTCTATTTGCCCATCTAGATGGTTTTGGAATCACTACCGAAAGCTCACCTTCACAAGGTACAACTGCTCAAAGATCAGGTGTGTTCTTCTCCAATGGATTTTTAATGTGTTTGAAATGCTAAGATATTATGAGTAATTTAATTACTTTGCAAATGGATGATAAATGTTAACTTCAAATAACTTTACAGTTAACTTTGATTTCTGAGAATATCATTATGCGTATAATATTCAGCCATAATAAAGAATACTACTCTTTCTTACTTCTATGGTTTGCATTTAAAACCTTAGCTGATACTTTAAAAATCTATGCAAAAGTGTGGTTATTAGAAATTCTGGAATACTACAGTGCAAATTATTTAATTTTGAATAACTTATTCTTTGTGTTACCATTTGGTTTTTACCTCGAATAGATTTGACAACACTTTAAATGTAAACTAAAAATTCAAAATATGCTTGGTAAGAACTAGTTATAAGGCGTGAATTCCCCCCCCAAGGCCTTCTTGTGACATACCCTAGGTTCAACAATCAAACTCCAAAGTCAAAATGCTTACGAGTATGAAATATTCGGTGAATCATGCAATCATTGTGTAAGAAAAGTGGTTCATCTCACATTCTTATCATAACAAACATTCTCGATGAATTGTGGTCCATAATTCACAATTCACTAATGTTGTTTTCATTATATATATATATATATATATATATATATATATCATTGTTGATTTCGATGAAATGAAAACACTTGATTACTTGCCACACACAATTTAATCGACCACTTTTCAATACAGTTAGGCAAATTTATTAATCATGATAAATCTTGGGTCATCATGCTCGTTCTTGGAAATCACTTTTAATTTATGCCAGTCATTTTATTCTTTTTTAACATTGCCATAAACCAGAATGACTCCTTAGATTTAGACATTTTTATGAGAAAGATAATCAAGAATGAATAATTCATCGTTCAGTCTCCGTTACCATTGTATGCGTAAATTTTTTATAATTCATTGGATGCTTCTTTACCATCTGTTTGTTTATATTTTAACAGCTTTCGTCTACACTCAATCGAATTATTCGTCTGGAACAATTCAATGAATTCTCATCAACCTCATCACTTTTAAAGCAAAGATATCCATGTTGCAGTCAGGGTTCAGAAGCTTCAACATGGATAAGTCGTGAAGATAATGCGTTGATTCTTAAGCTTTGTGGTAATTTACCTGACTGATTACATACATACTTTACGCACTCATTTATTTTAAGTGTTGAACAAGGAGTACTTTGAAATGAAACTAAATTATGTTTCTCACTAAATATTCATTCTAAAAATCCCAAATGTAATTATTTTATTATGGTTCCTGCCAATTAAACATCATTCTGATGAAACAGTTACAAAATGTATGGAAAGTTTCAGTTAAATTGGTGGTCAACAGTGAGGAGTACTAGATGAGCATTGTTTAACTAGATTTTTATACAATTTGATACTTAATTGATTTAACGTTTCAAAATTAAAATAGATATTGTTATCATTATGGAAACACCACTGATTATACTTAAACACCTCGGAGGTCTAAATAAACAAAAAACAAACATTCTTCTTTAAACGTAGGCTTTATTAAACAGAATACAGAACTATGAAATTTTTAAAGCTCAAAAGCCTGAAAAACATATAACCTCTCATAGTAATTTTCCATGAATCCACTACTATCTTTCCTGTTAATATATTCGAACAAAGTACTTTTATGTTCTGGTATCTGTGTATTCGTTGCCGTATTCAACAAACAATAAAAACTATCTTTATTTCGAACTAATATATGTGTCTCATTAGTCAATAAGAATGACATAGAAGTGTTTTGTTTTAAGAAACATGCATAATGACAAAAATCAAAACAATTTTTATTGTTTATTGACATTCCATTTACTGTTTTATTAATTACTAAACAGAATCACTTTGGGATAAAGAAGCGAATCGTTTACAACATAAAGTTCTTAGATATGTAAGTTAACATTTTTCCTGCTTCCTTGATAAACAATTAACAGTTATATATATATATATATATATATATATATATATATATTGTCTACGAAGCCTCATATTAATGAGATTATAGTTGATTTAACTCACAAATCTCTTTTTCTGCAAACTAAGAATTTTTAAATTACAATGGTTTTGTTGCTAAATTTATATCATTAAATACTTCAAACTTATTTCTGATACTTTGAAGCCCTCTTGAGGATTAAAAATGCTCCCTCTATTTTCTTCAAATTTTTTTCTAAACCGGTAAGTTTTAAAACATTTTTCTTGGTTTTATATGAGTTTTAGGTTCTAGGAAATTTTAAAGTAGTTATTCAACAAAGTAGTGTAGTGTAATAAAACTGGAGTACCAGGAAATCAAACATCAATTGTTCTATATTTGTTATTTTTATTAGCAGAAATTTTAAAGTTAAGACAAATAAATATAAGTTCTTTAATGAAATATTGGAGGTTTGCTTAATTCTTACTCAAGATATACATCAAATAAATGAATGCATATTTGTTTTTAGATAATGGAGCGTACAAATTCAGAAAATGGTTTTATCGTGATGCGAAATATCGACACTTCAGAGTTGGTTTGTCACGTAAGTATTTCCATTACTTTCAATCCCATCCAGTTTAGCTGAGAAGATTTAATTACTTAGCTAGTTTATTTGAAAAACCTAGGTATAACCTAATGTTTAGTTTTTCTTCTTCTTTCTATTCCATCCAAAACAATCTCATACATCGGTTGTTTAAAACTTACAGCAAGGAAAATAAAAACTTAACTATGAAAACCTCAGATGTGCTATTTCTGATTGATAGATGTCTGAGTTATTAAATTCACAAAATGTACTGAACTTTTACACAATACATATCCTTTATTCTTATTGACGTTAAACCAGAAACAGATGTTTTAATATAATTGTTCTTCCAATAACGGGTTTCATGTTTCATTACATATATATGAACAGATCATCTGTTATTGATGTATGACAGCTTACGGATCTATATGAATATACTTATTCATTTATTGAATAGTTATTAAGTTTGGCTTACAACTGCTACTTTACAAAATAATTTCATTTTGTTTTATTTTATCATTTTTCAGTGTACTGGAAATGAAATATTCGATGAATCTACATATATTGAAGTAAGCATGGGTATTATTTCATTATTTTGTATTTGTTTTAAAACACAGAAGAATAGGATATTAAAAATGGCAATTATGATGAATCTTAGTAAATTCCATTGTATATTATATTTTCAAGATCAATATACTCTTAAGTAAATCACATTATGAATTTGCTTGATTATTACTGACATAAATAAGTAATCATACCATACAGTTAGTTTCTCTGATGAACTTTTATAAAGAATAAGCAATAAACTTTATGTGATAAATTGAATTCATTTCATTTTGTCCGCTCTATGTAGTTCATATATATATAGATTTGATAAATAAATGCAATTTATTAATAACATGTATCAATTAATTTAGTTCAATGATGGGAAACAATTATAGATTGAACTTATATGAATCAAGAGGGAAATATTTGTAAATAACCTCATGAATAAATTCAATGAATTTATAGATTGTTACACTTGTAAAATATTTTGCTTCCTTACACAAATCACTGTGAAAAGATTTAGAGCAAATAAAGTGAAATCAATTCACTCCATTCTTTAATAGGTTGTTATATTTGCTTTACAAATAATAATAATAATACTATAATTTGAATCAACCTTGATCTAAAGTAACATTCCGTCTATCTCTAATTACACCTATTAACATATACATACACGTAAAACATTAATCTAATGAAGGAAATAGCCTAGTTGAAGATAATTACGATTCACATTAGCAATTAAACATTTTCGATAGTCTGATAGTATCTATCTATGATAGTTGTGATCAGAAAATGAGGAAAGTCTTATTATTATTGTTATTATTATATAAATAAAATTTAGTTGTGATATTGCCAAATTCCAATAATGTTTTCAGCCTTTGACCAACATCGACTGGAGTACGCATGAAAATAAAAACAATTCATTAGACATTTATTTCATTTTAATGTTATTCATCACTGTTTGGTATTACCAAATAAACTGGTTTCTGTAGTATAATATTAATGAATTTATGAATATGAACCTTGAATAAGAAGTTGGTGGAAATAATTGTTCGTTCAAACAGATTTTAACTAAAAATTCTGGGAGGGAATGAGTAAATAATAAATATGGTTGTAAAGAACGTTTGAACAAAAATTATAGTATCTATGAAAGAACTAACTAATTTAAATAACCCCGAAAATCAGTAAAATCAAGAAAATTAGTCCATAAACGTTACATAGCAGTATGTAATATGATGTCCGAGCAATCAAAGTTTGAATAAGTTGTGAGGCAGAGATACGGAATGACTAAAATTAAACAGTTCGATACTAATTACATAATGAATAAAGTACTTTCTGATCATTCAGGGATAAACATCGTAAAAATGTTTTCTGAATACAAACACCATGGATTTCTCTTTACATTCTTATTGTTTCTTGTAAGCACATTTAAACGTTTTCATAAAAACACAAGTTTATTTAGTAATACAAAATATTTTTAGGTTATATTCCAAAAATTTAATCAAAATTATTTAAAATCAATTAAATTATTTTACTTTAAGTGTTTCAAAGAAACGTTTAGAATGCAATAATCCCGTGGACACTTAGTTATCTCATAGAATTTAGCTTTCGCAACATGATGCATAGTGTTTTTACATTACTTTGACCTACAATATAAATCAACTCATAAATTACTGTCGAAGGCTATTACTTATTGTAGTAAAAAATATGCATACAAAAAAATATAACCATAGAGATGTAACATTTTTTCTAAAGAATATTGTCTATTCTACATAACTGGTTTTCATCCAAACAAATGTTGAGCTTGTATATGATAAACAGTATATCTTATATGTTTATCATATTTGCGCTATTTCGCACTCGTCAGCAAGGTGTACCTGTAATCTTGAGGGAATTGATAATCCCTGATGGATTCGATCCCGTGTCACCCAGCTTCACAGTCAGATATGTCACCGCTGGGTTATCCGGACCTCAAGATTGCAGGTACACCTTGCTGACTGATGCCAAGTAGCGCGAATCCCAGGTCCAGGGTTTTATGTAAACTACCTTCAACCTCCATCTTATCTCAACACAGTACACGCAATATCGAGTCATTTAGACTAGTGGTCATACTGCAATTCGGTCGATACCATTCGATCTGCACTAAGAAGGATTTGACTCACATGACATTGATCATCACCCAATGATCAATCAATTGTGAATAATCATTTTATTTTTGAAAAACTAATTTATTGTAATGACGATAAAAAAACGTATTAATTTTAAGAACATTTCTTCAATTGAAACTGACATGTATCATTCACTTATTATTTAAATGTTCAAGAGGATCTAATGTTATGGTCTACATCTTCAAAATATCTTTATTTTTATACTTTTTTTCAATATTTTCTTTTGTAGAATGATAGTTTTTTTAATGAAATAATGCAATCAAGAAAAACATTTAAAGCATCACAATTAAATTCAGTAAGTTGAAATCGCTTATAAAAAAAATACAATTTCATATTTTGTCTTTTGAAAGATATAAATAGTTTGATATTTACAATTTTATTTACCTGAACAAAGAAAAGTAATGACTACGTAAATAATGAATAAAAAAATAATAAGACAATCAATCTAACTAATCTAATCATTACATAAAACTCGAATATCATTAATTATTCTAAAAATTAAGATATTACATAATTGAGTGATTACCTGAGCTTTCATTGTCAATTCCATATAATTAGGATGAAGAGGAGTTATTTCTACAGGAGGATCCGAATTTCAAATAACTTAATTCGTTTACTGATTAGTACCTAGAATCAAAATTTATACAAATTTGATTCACTTAACAAATGAGATATACCAAATCTTAAAGAAAAGACAGTAGTAAAATTGTAGTATCAATATTCAGAGACACTTACGAAATATAATATTCCATGATCAATTGTATTATACGTTTTAGTAATGTATATTTACCATTAAAACTTACTGCACTCAATGTCCATTGAGTTATAACTAATTAGACTGTTAACCAGTAAATGTAATAAGTCTCGCGCCAGGCGCTTACCCAACTAGACCACTGAGCCCGCATCCAACTGACTGATGATTTCAATCTGTGAGATTTCTAAAAATCTCCACAAACCCCTTCTGATAATAATCATCTGCTCACTAGTGACTGACTTCAAGAGATACTCCTGGAGTTCTAGTGAGAAGCCGTTACCAGTGGAGTTCGACCAGGTCTGTTGTGAGATATCAGCTTACTGAAGACAATGGTGTACGGTGGCGCAACTTCGTGAATTGGTTGAAGTCAGATATTAACACCATTGGATGCCGGCTTAGTGGTCTAGTTGGTTAAGCGCCTTACGCGAGACTGATAGGTCCTGGGTTCGAATCTTGCGGGGTGCGAGATCGTGGATGCGCACTGCTGAGGAGTCCCATACTAGGGTGCAACGGCCGTCAAGTGTTTCCAGGTTTTCCATGGTAATCTAGCTTCACATGACTCATGATTTCAATCTGTGAAATTTCTAAAAATCTCCACAAACCCCTTCTGAAAATGTAATAAGTATCTGTCAAGATTTTTGATACAAAACCCAAAATTACACTAGAATACTGTTTTAAAAAGTCAGTAATGTAATTTATATTAACAAAAAATAGTTTGGTTAAGAATGTTTGAGACCACTGAAGTAATCATTTTCTGATCCAATAGTAAACTATCATGGTTATGTGAAGAAATTAGTAACTCCAACTTAATTACAGTGAAGCTCAAACAATAAACCCTATGATTTAGTATTCAAAAGTATGTTTATCCCACGGATTTGAATGCTTACTTTACTGTTATTCAGGTTAAAATTGATTTGCTTTACAATTTTCTTTAAATTTCTGTTAAAACTTCAGAGATCAATCAAAATCTTTAGTGTCTCACTCAATAGGTATTGAGAATGATTACGCGGTGTATACCGTTTCCTTTACCAAAATACTATGTAAATGTTTTCAATGCACACCTTAGTATTTTATTTGTTTCATTGCTGATATCAAATGTATTTAAAGCAAATATTTTCACTGAAATCAAATATATATTCTCTGTGAATATAATTTTACAGGAAATGTTTTTTCTAATTTTAGGAACAAGAACATACTTTATTATCTATTCTATCAGTTCGTAATGCATATATGAATAATGAGAATTATATAACTAATCTAAATACAGATATTCAAATTCATTCAGTTTTGTGCAGTCCAGTGTTTACTCGTTCTAGTGATAACCCTATTGCAGTTGTTTGTTTGATCAATAAAAGAGATTCTCAGTAAGTCTTAGCAATTATCTATAAATAAGAAAGTATTTATAATTTTTTTCTATTAAAAACGTGTATACGCTAAAGTAATCAGTATTATATACTTAAGAGTAGATATTGATTACAACGTTGATCGAGAATACTCTGTCAAGTCAATGTAAAAAGTCCTACAGATATCGACCGAAATACGGTCGATAATTTACATTGAACTGAATGATATTGATAGCGATATATGTTCTATAGTTTAAATATGTTTTATGCTAAGAAAGATGTACGACTTATTTCTGGGTTGAGAAAGTGAACATTTGCATGACTTCTGATTTTCTCATTAACCAAGTTATGCTTAAAATATTATTACTGAAAAATAAAATTACCGAAAAATCAATAATCCAGCAATCAACTTATCTTTCAGCAAATCAGTCTTGTTGTTAATGATTTCAATGTTTCCTGGATTTAAATTTTTTTGCATATAATTTGATTTCAGTAAATTTATTCAAAAAAGTGGTCGGAAAAAATTATTTCAAAATATGGAGACTTTCGTAAAAACAAAAATAAAGCCTTTATCTATCACTGACTTTATACTCAGGTTTGGTATTCCAAAAGTTATTATTACATACTTCAGTGTCATGACTGCCAATATAGTTTTCTTAGATTACAATTCATAGATCGTTTCTGAATTCAAAAACACTGTATGACCGCAAAAGCTTTTTTTTTGAACTAAGAGTTAGACTGTCTCATAGATAATTTCTGTGGTTCAGAGCGTTTCAGAATAAAATCCTAGCAAATATTGCTTAAGCAATCAAGTTACTTTCAGACTGAGAGATTTATGGATATCCTTCATTGTGAACTGATTTTAATTAAACTACCATTACAAGGATCATTAAACAACTGTATTGTTCCGAGTGTTTCGTTTTTGTGACTGCAAATTATGTTGAGTACATTGGGGGAGAACTTTGATAACCTTGTCCTTGGCATTGGTCGTGTAACTGTCACTCACTCCTGATGGGTTATAAGAGATTTGGATAAGGTATAACTTGGTCTACATAAAGGTGCACACATCACATATTGACCGAAGCAATGGTTATTAGAATCAATCGAAGCAAGCAATTATAAGTCTTAAAACAACTATTTAGAGGTTAATTTTGTCCTGAATACAGACAAGGTTAGTATCAAAAGGGTTTCGTGGTTACAATTGATTCATGATCTCAACTACTAAAATTACTACAATATCCACAAAGCCCCTTCTGATACTTATAGACATATGCTCACTAGTGATTGGCTTCAAGAGGTATTTCCTGGAGTTCTAGTGAGAAGCAGTGACCAGTGGAGTTCAATCGGGTTTGTTGTGAGAAAGTAACTCACTGAAGACAATGGTGGACAGTAACGCAATTTTGTGGATTGGTTGAATTTAGACAGTAACACTGTTGGATGCCAGCTCAGTGGTCTAGTGGTTAAGCGTTCGCACGCAAGACCGATATGTCCTGGGTTCGAATCTTGGGAGGCGAGATCGTGGATGCGCACTGATGAGGAGCCCCATTCTAGGACGAGACGGTTGTCCAGTGGTTCCAGGTATTCTATGGTGTTCTAGCTTCAATCGATTCATGATCTCAGGTACTAAAATTACAGACAAGATTCTACGAAATTAACAAAATGTTCTAACTGCTTTTTTTAACACATCAGTTATGCTCTTGCGATGTTTGATTTGCAATAAGCTCAAGCTTCTTACTCAAGATAAACACAGTTATCTACAGCCTGTTATATTTCATATTCGGAGACTAGTTATTTATCATGTGCAAATGATAAAGCTTCTATTTGTCTTTATTATTTACACAAACAAATTATTGAAAAAACACGTTATGCAAATAAAACCGTTGACAAATGTCATCAGCAAGTTATTTATTTTTATAACAGTTAAGTATATAAAATAAGAAGTTTCAGCAATAATTGGCTCACATCAACGAATGCAAAAAGAGGTCTATTTAAGAATAAAAAGAATCATATATTATTGAAGGATATGTAATAGCTAAACAAATTGACTTACCACCAAATATCAATATGTAGTTTGTAAAGTATGTTTTATAAGCTTACAATATAAAATGCAACCTAGGCATTAACAGATGGAATATGAATATTTAATATTATCATTGAGAAAATTGATGTAAATAATAAGTATATCAAATAGTTGATGATAATTATTTAATATATAATAAAACTGGGTTTAATCCAAAGTGTAGTGTATAAACATATATGAAGAAAGATCATTGTAAAACATAATTTAAATTGTCATGATTGTTGTTTCTACATTTTGAAAGGATTCAGGATCTGGATGATACCATAACTGAAGTTATACAATAGAATAAACTAAATAAGTTTTATTTAAGGGGAATTCTGTTGAAGTATGCTTTATTCAAAACATCTCTTATTTATGTGCTGGTGATCTACTACTGGGAAATATGAAAAAATACACTGAATAATGCTTTCTATTCAATTTTTTTTCTTCTAGATTTACACAATCAGATGAGCGTATTATCGAAGAATGTTTTCGTTTTGTTGCACCTATTCTCTTAAGCTCATTAGCATATCAAAACGAACGTTACATAAGAGATAGAACTGAAGTAAGATCACTGTGGTTTAGTTCAAAAATTGTTTATCAATAGTTGTGTTAAAATGTATTTGCTTAAAAGCAGTTTGCTTTAAAGGAGAACTCAGAGTATTAAAAATATTTGACAACAAAAATTGTGATCAAAAAAGGAAAGCAATAAATGTTTGATTGAAATAAATTTTCAAATAACGTTCGTCTTATACGATAGAACACACTCATTAAACTAGAGAATATGAAACATGAAACTCCTCGTTAATGTCTCATATTAACTCGGCGCCCAAATATTGTGGAACTATTCGTTCAAATTTAGACGAAAGTTCTTATTTACACGAAACATTAGTTTAGTAAAGAGAAAGCTTTTTAGAGAATCGTTTCAAAAAGGATGTTTAATCTCGACTATATACTTTTCACATTGACAATTCATAATGTATTTGTTGTTAATAATAATTTCATGAACACGGCAAGTGAGAACCAAGATTAACGGAAACAATAAAACGTTGGTGTTTTTGAAGACCTAAAACGTAGTTGTTGAAACATTGACAATCGATTATTAATATAATAGAATTTAGATAACTATTAATCACGACAATCAGTTTTGTAATATGATAAAATAAATTCTGAAATAATACGTAATTAGAAACGACATTTAAAATAGAAATAACATGGTCAAAGGTAACAGATTAATAGAGTAAAACAAAAGGTGGAGTGGATGATTTGGAAAGCCGAAGGATATAACTGTGGTAGAAGAAGTGTTTTTTGTTTGTCCATTCTTGTTTAACCCATTTGTATATATATTTCTCCCAATGTGATTATTATTGACTATGATTTCAATAACTTTGTTTTTCAATCGTTAGCTTACTTCTCAGGCTTATAAATTCGTACATGTTATCATTTTGTTATTAATTCTTATATATATAAATGTCGCTTATTAGATTAATATTTTTCATATTTGGATATAAATATAACTACATTTCAGAGTAAACCCTGATGAAGACCCAACTATAAACAAACATGTGTTGTTCGTATTAACACTTTATGAACATGAAACATTTTAATAATTATTTATTATTTAAAGAAGTACATATATAGTGTTCAGCTATCGAAAATACAAACGTATCAAACTTACTATAATACTACAACTCAATTTTCTTCTGTACAACATTTTCGAATTACTGCAAGATGACAAATATAACACGTTGAAGATATTTAGCAGACTTAAAAGCCGTATGAAACGCAGGGCTTCAGTTTCTAGATTGCCAATATTAGAAAAGGAAAACAGTGTTAGATCTATTTATCACAAAGAATTATTTCATTATGATCTTAGAGTTGTTATACTTAATATTAGAAAGTATGATGATTAGCTTAGAAAAAATTCCGATTTCACAAAAATGATAGTAAACGTGATATCAAATCAAATGTTTTTAATGATTTCATGATAATATACCAAGCTAAAGAATCTCTAGCATTAAAGTATACAACAATTGAAGATGAGTAAACTCTGTATTGGAAAGGTAGTTCTAACTACAATTTATTCAACAAAAATCATTTCTTTATTTATTCTATTTCTGTTAACAGGTAAACTAAGGAGTACAAATATCTTATTATTTATTTATTTAAACACATAAACATTGGTACAAGGAGACACTAAGTAGATATGCGCCACACAAATCATTTGATTTATGTGAGGGTTTAAATACTACTCGGGCGCTCAAAACGAAACAGGTGGCTTTCCTAGGGAATCACACCTTAAGCTTTCGACCTAAAGGTCTAATCCACAAGGCAGTGGAGCAACGTCAGGAGATGCAGTCCAATGGTAGCCGGTGAACAACGATTGGTTCATATGCCATTTGTTCCTTCATGATGCTGGAGCCCATGTGCACCATTGGTTCGGAATCAGGGTTTTTCAACTCCTCTAGGTCGACTCTCTATGTTCATCAACCCGGTGAAAGCTCCGGATACTCGCTTTTCGTCCTTTCATTTTCGCAAACAACACCCACGCGGCGAGAAGGCAGTAAGTAGGACTTCCTTACCAGTGTTTTTATGCATGTGGTCATGTGAGAGCATTTAGAGACAAAGAGCTGACTTTCCCCACTCTCGGCCGTACCAGGGCATTTGGGGGCTGTACAAATATCTAGCTGATCATCATCAACATACTTCTAACTTCTAGAAAATATTAATTCTTCCAAACAATCAACAATTGTTAACTTTATGATGATAATAATAATATTTTCGAAATTTCCATTTTCTCATATTTTCTTTAATATTTTCCATTTATAAAATAAATAACAAAAAAATAATTGAATTAAGGATATGCTTAAAGTTGCAAGAAATATTTTCACTCATATGATGGATTTAACAAATCTTTTATTGAAAATAATGCAAGAAGCTCAAAATTTAACCAAAGCTGAAAGGTTTGTTTCATTTATTTAGTTGTAGATTATTCAATAGTTAATTAATAAATTACTTTTTCTATAATCACCTATAAATATCACAATTTTGTGGGGGGGGGGAAATGAAATTTATGTGTAAATCGAATAGTTTAGTGTAGTAATATCAATTTTCGAAACTAGTAATTTCGATTTTTTTTTGGATGTTGATCACTTTCTTGTATCCTCATCCAGTTTTTCTGAGTTGTTATTTGACAACTAGATATGGATAAAAAATTGTGAAGTTTAGGGAAGAGTTATCTATCTTTCAATTATTACTGACATTCATTTAAACTAGTTATACTATAATTATATGCATTAAATGAATGTTCTGAAGATAAGTTGACTTTATAAAATTGTTTAGCGGTATATTAGAGTTGGTGATTTTTTGAAATTCATGAAGCAAGAATGCAAATAGTTCATTCTGGTAGATTGTAATTTCCGAATCTAAATAAGTTCACTTCGGATTTAAGATAATAATTTGAGTTTTCATAAACTTAAAAATTAAAATTTATCGAATAAAAAATAACTGCTCTCAGCTTTTAAGTAACTCATCTCATTGCGCAGTCAACATTTGTACCTGTCTAAAACACCACTCTGTGACTAAAAACATTATCTACTTTGTATGGAATGTCAAATTCAAATAATTTAATGTATGAGTTAAAATACTAGCAACAATAGTATTTGCTTTAAATGTTTTTTTTCACACATTTTGAGTGTTAGCGAAACTATCAAACAAAGTTAAACAATTTAATTATCTCTAACTGAAAAATGTCATAAAGATTTCAAACTGATATTTCTCAAGTTTTGTTTACAGTTAAAATCACAAGTCGATCTAAGCTAGACTATCATTGGAAACCTATGAGTACTGGACAGCCGTCTCGTCCTAGTTTGACTCTTCAGCAATGCACAATCACCATCCTGCATGCTTGACTAGAACAAAGAATCTTCAATATTGCACGTAAACTCTTAACCACTAGACCACTGAGCCGGTTTTCAACGGTGTTGATGTCTAACTTTAACCAATCCATGATCTTGCTCAACTTTTCATCCATTGTCTGAGGTAGATAACTTGCTCAAACACGACTTGAGCTGAACTCTAATAGTCACGGAATGTCACTAAAACTCCCGAAAATCCATCTTGAAACTAGTCACTAATGAACGCATGGGTGCATTTTGCTGAGGAGTCCCATACAGGACCGAAATGACCATTCAGTGCTCTCAGGTTTTCACTACTCGACTCGTGATTTCAATTGTGAAAATACTAAAATCTTCACAAATCCCCACACTGATATAAATTTCGTTCAGTTTGTCGGTTATTACTATCATCACGTAAGTACATTTGAAATTAATTTATAACTATTCTAATGTTTTTATTAAGTTATTATGTTTAATTATTAAATTTAAACTGATTATTATGACAGTAACTGGAAGATGGTGCCGTCCATGATAAAGTCTAAGTGGTGAAGTCTTTTCATTTCTGCGATTTGTTTACATCATTTACATTAACCTAAAGATTAACTATGAATTGATGTGTTACCACATGATTTGAATAGTATTTACCACCAAATATTTTTTTAAAAAGTGGTGTATTTATTTCAGTTGAGCTATTTTCATTCATTTTATGGATTAGATGCTCAGTTTTTCTGCTTGAATCAGAAACTAATGTATTAGTTGCAAAAGTATTAGATGGATTACCAACAGCTCCTAATAAAAATGTAAGTTTCATATCTTAATATAGTTGATTGTAGTACTTTTCACAAAATAACATGATAATCTCAATTTGAACAGTTGCTATATTATTATTAATTCTTTTTCATGCTATTATTCTGACTAATTGAAATTGTATAATTCATACAACAATCATCTAAATAGCATCTAAATCATATTGAACCGGCTAACTAGTATATAATGTAATAACCATGTATCAGGTACGCTTTAATACTACTGAAACACATTTTTTAAAATAATTTATGAACCCCTTGAAAGCAGCAGTTTATAGTTGTTAACAATATGAATATAATAACATATGAACTTAAATGGGAAACGAATGATATCTCTAGATGTTGCTTCCCTGTTCACTAATGTACCTTTAACTGAGACTATTAACTTTGAGTGTCAACAACTACTTGAAAAACAAATCAATATTGGAATTCTCGAGGTTAGTCTGAAATAATTATTTCTGAAATGTACAGTGAATGTTCATTTTGTCATTAATAACACATATTAAATATAAATTGATGGTATAGCTTTGGGTTCACCTCTATGTCTTTTCCTTGCGGATTTTTTTTCTTGCGAAACTAGAAAATATACCTCTCAAAGATGTTATTGATAATAATAATTCGTTTACCGTCGATTAATTATGGGACATCACTAACAAAAATATCCATTTTTAAGCATTTGCAAAAAGTCATTAATCATTCGAGAGGTTGTACAGTTTGACATTGCATAAATAGTCGAAACGATAACAATTGTATTTCTTGAATAGTATGTTTATTTCTAAATATAAAATGTTGTTTTGTTGTAGAATTAGAGTTATTAAATCATAAATTAGATATCATTGTAATTCATTTGGCAAAAATTCCTGACTGATCATAGATTTCTAGACCCTATATCTCAAAAGCATACAACTTTCTTATAATTAATTTACGCTAATTATAATGATAATCATTTACATCAAATAATTTATATTTTGGATAAGGGAATAATATTATAAAAGTTGATCTATCATATAGTTGACATTTACTTAATATATTATGCCATTTTCACTCTATCTCGTTTTTTACTTAAGATGTGAAATATGAAGGTATTGTCATTTGAGTAGAAAATTTATATAGTTGATTGTATTACATAATACTTTTTTTCTATTTTAATGATATGATTACAACTGTTCGAACTCAAGCAAACATTTTTTAACTACTTAATAGAAGTAATTTCGAGAATGTAAAGCAGTCTCAGCCAGCAATAGAACAACAAAAATGAATAATGATAACTAAATAAGAATATCTATTTTAGAATAACAATCCTTACTGTTTTAAGTAGTTAGCAATATGAATAAGATGAAATTACTCATAAATGGTTATAACAAACAAATCGATTTACTGATGAAGAGGAAAAATTGGACGAATTGATTTTTAAGCGGAAATGAACGGTGGATAACATTGAAATTCAGGACTTGCGTTTCATCCTATTTTTGGATTAGTAAGCTGGATGTACCTGCATTCCAGAATTGATATTCACTCTAAGACTCGAACCCAGTGTTGCTCGCTTCAAACGCTATCTCTGTATCCACTTATTTGTTGAGTCCAGATTGCCTTAGTCTTGTGTCATGAGGTGTATTTGGATTTTAATTCATATGTATTGGTTGGTTGGATCTCCTCATCGGTGTTAAGAACTAAAACTGATCAGTCTCTTTTGGCAATATCAAGGTAATCCTCACAGGATGCACATACGCCGAAAGATGCTGTTCAATCGCAGTCCTAAATATCAATGAGAATATCCAATCAACCAATATATATGAATTAAAATTAAATTGATTATTATGAGAGCAATAACTACAATATATACTTATATATGTATGTCAATATTTAAGAAGTGAAGGATGAGCTAAGCAAGAAAATTTCCCACTCATCTATGCAAACGTTAAGATAATTAGAATTTGTTTATTTTGAATACGATTATTAGATTAGAGATTGTTTATCCATAATCAACTCATTATTCTGAATAAACATACAAACTATATGCTTTCCATTTACTCCCAAGTAAGCTTACCGTAAGTGCAGTGTTTATTTCACATGATTTGATTATTCTAGGTTGCAATTTATGAGTCGCTATGATTCACTGGACAAACAAAAAATGTTTTTTCCTTATTCTTTAGTTATAAAAAATACTTCGACTATCTTATATTCACTGTACCATCTGGAACTGTTCGAAAATAATAATAATAATAAACCAAATAAAACTAATTAAAAGTCGAGGAGAAAACCATATTGTTTCCAAGAAAATTATCTGACTATAGATTTAATATAATTCATAATTAAAAACATATTTCTCAATTATACCTTGACAAAAAACATTCGTATAACAGAAAATTAATAGAAAATTATTACATTATTTGCTTTATCTAGGAAATTCTGATAAGAATAAACAATATGTAAGGTATATCATATCACAAGAGGTATGATAGATTATAGACTATAAATTTTGTCAACATAGTAATAATTCTACATACATTTCATGAATTCACATGAATGAGATTAAAGAAGCATATTTTTCCCTGATAAGTCAAATGAAATATAAAAGTATTTGAGTATTAGGATTTATAACCATTATTAAACTGTTCACTCATAGTCGACATGACATATATGGAACAAAACAGTTCAGACGGAATATTACAGTCTAGAGTTTTTTTTATTAAAACCCATATCAAAAACTATTTAGTTCAAATTTGCAAACTATTTTATTAGGGTTTATTTGATGAAATGTAACTGATACAAAATTAAGACATGATAAAAATTAACAAGCTTTCGAATCTCATGAGCGGGACCGTGGATGCGCACTGCTGAGGAGTCGCAGAAAAAGATGGAATGGTCGTCCAGTGCTTCCAGGTTTTCAATGGTAGCCTAACATCAATCAATTCATGATCTCAATGAATAACAAGCCTTTATTCAATTCATCCGAATAATATCACTATACACTTTTTAGATTACAATAAATAATTTCCTTACAGCTGATTTATTTTCTAACATTATATTCTACAATTTTATATAATTAGATTACATAAGAACTCCAAATTTCCGAAAATATCTTTAATGATTAATATACTTCCCGTTAAATGTCTGATATACAAACGCTTCTAAAATAAGCCAATGTGTTTATATATGTACGCACCATATAGTTTAGAAAGGTTTTGTTACATCACCTCTATATCTGTGTAAGTAATGGTTGAATTTCGGTCTACTACTATATTATTTAAGACACTAAAATAATCATTTAAATTATATTCTATGATGAAGAGTTTTTATCATATCATCGATGTATGAAAATGTTTTAATCTATTTTGATATCTGCAAGAAATTGAACTCATTATACTTCAAAACATTTTTTGTATTAATAAAAATAAAGGTTAGTACGAAGGTTATTCATTTTAATATTTGTTGATTCGGAAATGTCATTCAAGCACTGAGTAAATCTGAACAAATATTTATTAGTAATTAAATTCATGGGTCAATGTAAGCTAGACTACCGTTGAAAACCTGGAAGCAATGGATGGTCGTTTCGTTCTAGTATTTGACTCCTCAGCAGTGCATATCTACCATCTCGCATGTGAGCCTCGGACCCAGAAAGTTTGGCCTCGCGAGTGAACGCTACTGAGCTGTAATGCAACGGTGTTTACGTCTAACTTGGATCGATCTATGATCTTATCCAACCATTCATCCATTGTCTGAGGTAGGTACCTGTCTCTACCTGTGCTTCCAGGTTTCCAATGGTGATCTAGCTTACATTGACTCATGAATTCAACTATTAAAATCACTACAATCTCCACAAACCCTCATTCTAAAATCTATATTACCTTTTTTTACACGTTTTAACAGACACGTTTTACAACAGCAGATGGCAAAACTGTTACAGTAAGTATTAATTTGATTGACCTATATATATATGAATACATTCTTCTATAGAATAACGCTTTCTAGGAATTTAACAATATTTACTAGGCTGTTTTATGAACATCACAAACTAAAAGCAAGAATTCACTTAGTGAGTTGTGCATTATTCAAATGGCTTCTAAAGTAACACTGAGCGAGTGCTGCTCATATTGTGTCTAAAACCTTATCATCTATCATTTAAACTCTTCTTTATGGTGGGCAGACAACCAGGACAACGGCTAAATTAGGATATATTTGGTTAAATTAAAATTCAGAAATTATTTTATATTCAAATATTCTGACTGGTAGTGGATAGTAACCAATTATTATTCAGTGAAATGTTGAGGTTAATTTTCACAGTTAGTATCAAATTTGTGCATTTACTATCTTTTTATTTGGCTCAGAACGTTTATGGCTGCAATTCATTAGTTATAAAGTATCGTTAAGTGGCAAACCCAATTAACACATCTTAAAATTTTACTTTAATGCTTTCTGATCAGCCAACATTCAAGTTTTAACTTTTCTTTGTTCTGGTGCGATTTTTAAGATTACTGTTCGAAAAGTTTAGTTCAGTCACATTTTGAGAGTATTCCTATTGAATATCAGTTACTTGATTTATTTAAGTCTACTATCTCAAAAAATCTAACATCTTAACATTGTGGGCTTCATGTCAAGTCAGTTAGGCTAATGACATTGTTATTATTCAGTAGTCAATCAATCATACATGTGGTCATCCGGGATCTAAGTAACTCAGTGGTTACCTCTAAGGCAACAAAGCGAAGCGACGCGAGTTATAATTCACTAAAGATTAATAGCTTCCTCATTATTACAGCTAGGCTTGCTAACAAGCATGAAATGTCAGTTCAAGATTTTCTGTAGACTATTATCAACCACCTGACAGTACTGTTTCTAATGAAAATACATTAAGTTCTAAGCTTCTCGGTAAGTTTCATATCTTCGTATTTGCATCCCTTACGAGTACCTACGCAATCGACTGATAATTATTTACCCTGAACTATGTTGAATTATTTAACGAGAATCAGATCTGCCAGATTTGCCTGAAAGTCTCGATGTTAATACAAGCCAATAATAAAAATAAATAAATTAGATTACTCATACTGAAAGACAATCAAATTCATTTTGATTTATCACTATCGATTTTTATTTGTTGTTTGAAAAGCACTTTCATTAAAATATTCATATTTTTAACATTTTGATTTTCATCTCATTAAAAAAAATCTTGAATACATCATTTTCAATCAAGTAATACAGTACGTTTCTTCGTTTATGAAATTAAGACTTGCTTTGTCAACTTTAAGATTAGTAGTGATGGTAAGTATTAAAAAGAACCTACTAAAGAAATGACGACTTTAAAACGAAGCACAATTTTTGAACGATCCTAATATGGACTTTCTCAAACTGCTAATATAAAGATACTTGAAATCAGTGAAACATTAAGCACTAGATTGATGATTAATCTATTTTATAGTGTGACTCCTACATACTTTTTAAATTTTAACCGATATGAAGTTTTTCAGTGTTATAATTGTTTTACATAATTAGTAATTTTGTGTTTTATAGTTACCAGAAGAAATTCGACTAAGTTTAAATCAAGGCATCGCTGGATATGTAGCTACAACCGGTAAATGGTTGTCTTTTTATCTATCTATCTTTATGTATATATCAGAAAGGGCTTTTGTGGATATTTCAGTAGTTGAGATCATGAACCGATTGGTGTTAGACTACCACTGAAAATCTGAAAACACTGGACGGCCGTTTCGTCCTATTGTGGGACTCCTCAGCAGTGCATATCCACGATCCCGCATCGCAAGATTCGAACCACAATAGAACGAAGCGACCGTCCACTTCTTCCAGGTTTTCCATGGTAGTTTAGATTCAACTGACTTATGATGTCAACTATTGAAATATATGTATTTATATTTATTATTAACTTTCTACCCAATGCTTAATTTATTTGGAACTATCAAGTTTAATGTCGGCAATGATATCGATAAATAACCTGTATTCAACTTATTGATTGAATTCAATGAAAATCTTTTCGTCTTTGCGAAAATCGAGCCGAATGAATTTTTTCAATACCATATTAACAATACAAATTCAGTCGTTGTTAACATCTTCATTCTATATTGCAACGTTATATACTAAATACTTTCGAGTAAATTTAAGAAAAAAAGTCAATAAAATTGGTTATTTGATATATGAAAGTAAAACTGTATATCCGTGAAACGGATTCCTTCTGATACAATTCATAGTTTTTAATTATTATAATAAAAGATAGAAATCAATTCCTGACATGTTGGGATTTCATAAATGTCAATTATTCAAATAATAAACAAATATTCAAACAATTTAATTAACGAATTAGGTCAAAAAGGAAGCAGAATTCTCATTCAAATTATAGTATAGTATGTATGTCATAAAATATAATATGATTTTACCATATAAATATGTTTGCTTGTATTGATAAGACTATTGATAGGTTATATAGTAGTTATTTGTAATTTTATAGAGAGTTTAGTTAGAATACTTCATACTCGGACAGATTGCTCAGTTTTAATGGAAAAGTGAATAATAATAATAATATATTGAGATTTAGATGGTGGTTGGGGGTAGTCAACAGGAAACCCTGGACCCGGGTTTCATGCTACTTGGCACTCGTCAGCAAGGTGTACCTGTAGTCTTGAGGGAACTGATGCTCTCTGGCGGATTCGATCTCGTGTCACCCAGTCAGAGACATTACCACTGAGCTATTCGAGCCGCGACTGACCTCCTGTAGGACTGAGATGTAATCACAATTGATTGATCACTAGGTGGTGATCAGTGTCATAATAATAATATGGAAATTGTAAATTGTTCGTGAACAGACAGATTTCTTTATTATATATCAATTTATCCGCAAATATCGTATTATATTTAATTTATCATCATTTTTAGGTGAATTGTTAAATATAAAGGATGCCTATGCTCATCCACTTTTTTATCGTGGTGTTGATAAAGAAACTGGATTTCGTACAAGGTTAGTTTGTAAGAGATTTTCTTATTCGCATCTTTACTTTTTTTCCAGATTTGAAAAAAATCTGTGTTCGTTTGTTTTACTTTTACTAAACTTTAAAATTTTAGACGAAAACCTCATATATAAAAAAACTTTATTAATTATGAATCAAGATAAATTTTATCAAAGTTAAAGTAGGTTAAAATTCACATTATATTTGATTTTATCTACGCATTTCTGATTTTCAGTAATATTGAAGTTAGATTTTGTGATATATTACAATTAAGTATTCCTTCATTTGATCGCTATCTATCCTTAAAACACAAAACAATTATACTCATTATAGTAACTAGAAGTAGATACTCATTCAACAAAGCCAAGTGTTTCAGTAGTTGAGATCATGAGTCAGTTGAAGCTAGACCATCATGGAAAACCTGGAAGCATTAAACGGCTATTTCGTCCTATTGTGAAACTCCTCGGCAGTGCGCGTTCACAATCCCGCCTGGCAAGTTACGAACCCAAGATCTATCCAATTGTCTTCAATTTGGCTATAAGCGCTATGTGATATGGTATCTCTTGAAATATCAGATCGACTTCAATGAATTGTTTTGATCTTTTTTCTTGAAGAATAAAAATATTTCTTTTTGAGAAAATGTGTTTCATCCTTTGTGAAAATTATTTTTCTAACGATTGATATTCATTTAAACACTCAGAAAGCATAATATTTATTTACTGATTTGACAAGCTGATATGAATCAGTCATGTGGTAAATTATTATCTGTTCGTACAATCATTCCTTCAATTTGCTTTACTCTGCTCATTTTATCTTTAGAACCATATCGTAATCAAAGTGAATGTCATTAAAATGAGTTTTATTTGTTGCTCATAAACTAAAATAATTTACTGATTTTAATTGCAATAACTTGCCTCTTATATTTAAAGTTTCATCTAAATGAAATATGTACAAAAATAATTTTTTGTTAGAAATACGAAATAAAACATGTACTACTGAAATGAAACTTATTGTTTGAGTAGGTCGAAACGACCGTCCAGTGCTTCCAGGTTTTTTCATGATGATCTAGTTTCAATTAGCCCATGGTCTCAACTATTATAGTAAAAAAAATATTTTATTGATTTCAGTATTATTCTTGAAAAAATTTTAAGTATGATCTTAAAAAACGATGAATTTGAATGACATTGTAAGAAAATCAACTTCAGGTATTAGTGAAAGCTAAACAACCTTTTTTCTATAAATATGAACTATGATATTATGTAATAACTCATTTCCTGTCAATTAACATATTTGAGAGAACATGATATAGTTTTAGAAACTATATTATACGTTTAAGTTAAAATATCATAATTTGGCTCTAAGCTCAATTCGATAAAGCTATTGAGGTGATTTTATAACTGTATATTATAGAAGTTTCTGTCTACAAAGTTAATGAACATAGGAAGAAGTTATATCAAAATAAAAAGAACGGAACTTTTGAAGTACATCAATTTTACCGATATTTACAAAGGATCATTTTGAGTACATCTCATTTTATTAATAATAATAATTATTATTATTATCATCACTATCATATACCTCACTATACCAACAAATTTATTTTATTTAGGAATATATTGTGTTTTCCAATAAAAAATGAAAAAGATGGTATAGTTGGTGTTGCACAATTATGCAATAAAATCAATCATCCTTTTTTCACAAGAGCTGATGAAGATGTAGCTAAAACATTTTCAATTTATTGCTGCATAAGTATAGTACATGTAAGTATAGACTAAATTTGAAAGAATGATATATATATATATATATATACATTTAGAGATAAGTATTTAAAAACTGAACATGCTTATGAGGATTATTGTATGTTGATAAAATTCACTTATAAGGCTGATTATTTCTGTTTCATGTAATGAAAAACTTGGTGTACTTTATCGTTATGCAATGTATATTACAGTTAAGTTCATCAAATCAGATTAGGTAATAACTTTAGCATTACATTTTCCAAATATTTTTTTTACAGGTAAGTATCAACGCTTTACTTAAACTTCAATACCATAAAAAGCTTCTAAAATTTAAGTGAAACGGAAAACATTAGAGGATTTCTATTTATCTAATCACAGAAGCTTTTATGCATTGGTATTAAACTTGATATTAAGCGACACTAAGCCAAGTGTTAAATTTAATAGTGAAATTTTATTTTTTCAGAATATTGCTCCTTGTAACCAGTAAGAATATTGACAAACATGCAATTGACCCATTTTATTAAACTGAACATGATGAATTTAACATATGTTATTTGTAAAACTTGGTCTATATTTTAAGTGATTAATTTCATAAGATTATAATCTATTCTAGAATAAAGTTCCAGATAGTGTTTTTAAATGAGACTGTCTTCATGTGGTGTTTTAAAGGTCTTTTAAGTGCGTTTTAAGTTACTAGACTGACAAATTGACTATGTATTCAGAAATTCTTAGTGACTGTAACGTATAAGTGATTTTTTGGGATTAAATGCATTCACAGCGGGATCAAATTTATAATATGCGGTCTCTATGAGTTGTCATAACTTCTATTTAGACCATAAAGTCATAAAATCAATGTGTATTGTAACGAGGAAAATAGCTAAATTCCACACACAGAGGAAAGACAATTAAATAATTCTTACAATTAACATGTAAGACGTGAGTTTGATTTAATTCTTATCCGATGTATCAAGTCACCTCTTATAACCACTAAAATTTGCTGATCTCATCTGCTTTCAACAAACGATTAATTCCGTTTAATACAAACAACTGTTTGACTTTCACGGTAAAAATAACCAATTTCATGTTGCTTACTTGTCGATAGCAAACATTCTGTATAATTAAAATAAGCCGATTTTCTTAAAACATTTTCAGATGAAAATGTTGAAGTTGATAACTCACAAGTATTGGAAAATGAAACGAAACTTTTACACTAATAAATCCTTGTCTTGTAACCAATCACTATTAAGTTCTACTAAAATTTCTCTTATTTGTGAGGAGCAAACGACTAAGCTGTTCCTTATACACAGTATCGAGATCAAACATACTTGTCACATCAATAGAGACATGACATAGAGACAATGGTATAAAAAGAGAAACAAAAATCAGTGTAAAATTAAATGCTAAAATAATCAAGAAATTTCTTTATGACATTTCTCTGAACATCTTTTACTTACTTTTCAGTCGTTAATGTACAAAAATGTTCAAGATGCACAACATCGTACTAAATTGGCCAATGAACTTATGATGTACCATATGAAGGTAAACATAAAATTGCGTAATGCATTTATTTTTTACAAAATGTACAGAGCATTTAAAGTGAATAATATGATTATCCTTTATTAATTTGTTATCAGCGCAACAAATTAAAATACTGAGACTTCATTTAACCTGTTATGATAACTAAATGATATTATTTAGATGGTTAATTGATTTAGCAGATAAGATGAGTACATGTAATGTTCAATTGACCTGGTTTACTGAGAAGTTAAGTTGTATATATATTATTATTTTTTATAAAGCGATTCCGACGTGTAAAGAAAAGAAATAGATATATTAACGTTTGCCATAAGTGTGGTTAGGAAATTCATCCAAAACCCATTTTCCATTAATTCTAACGCCGTAATAGAGTTAAACGTTTCCCTAAATCAAGTATCCAACTAAGTATTAAAATGAAAGTAGAACGTTTAAACTATACAAAAAAGTAAACATTGCGTTATCATGTAACTATAAAATCGGCACTTCATTTTGTTGTTGTGATATTTAGACAATACATCATATGAGAGACTGGATAGAGTTGGTCCGGTTGACATTTTGATAGAACAAAAACAAAATAATTCTAAAAATTAAATGCATTCATTGTTTTGACCTCTGCTGTTGAGTCTACATGAAAACCAAATGCTCGACTGAAATTAAAGCATATATAATATAACAGAACAAGCACAAGTCAGTTAAAAGATAATTTAATTTTTTATTAAATGAGAAAGTTTCCAGTATTCAAAGATGAAAATCACCTGATTAATTCCTTTCAAAAGTCGAACAAAGTGACTGAGTAAATATACTTTTTGGTGCATAGTACCTAATGAACGTCATATACCTTCTGCTTTGAATTGTAGTAAAAAATGACAGTGAGTAATCTTGTTGACAAGACTAATCATATACACATTTACTCAAAAGTTAACACAGGAGCATTCAAACTCACAAAGTAATACGAGTGTAAATGGCACACTTTAGGAAAGGTTAAAATTGTATCTAGGGCAATTTTTAACGATTTAAATTTCTATACATTTGAATGACGTGTTGCCTGTATAATCAGACTAAGTCAGTTGACAGTGTCAGAAAGGTGGTTCAAACAGGTCTTACAATATCTTGCTGAAAATACCTTGGTTTTCATTTTAAGCCACCTGTTATATTTCAAAATGATTGAAATAATCGAATTACAATACTATATTTTCAAACTGTTATTCAGAAAATCTCTTCCCATTAGTCCATAATATCTTAATAACATATCGTTTGAACGAACGTATTAAATTTCAGCAAAATAGAAAAGCAATCGCTTATGGAGTTAAGCTAGTATTTATCACCTACCAACATTTTTAAAGTGATCCCTTTCAGTTAACTGAGAAAAGCTCACTCAATTTAAGATCACATGATATGGTTGTCGAAATTTGAAAGGCTGAAATAATAGGAAAAATGATATGTGTATAGACTGAATTAATTCCAAAATACACTAGCTCACTTTACATCTATGGTCATACACTAATTATTTGTTTATAACCCAGGATACATATATACATGTCTTAGCAACCAGTGAGATAAATCTTATTCTATCTGATTTGTATGGAAAAGTGTTATTCTCAATCTGTTACGTACAGTTGTAAAAGCTGTGTGTGCACAATTTTCTAATATAATGGATACTTTTCACCAAGGAATTTAAGAAAATGTTTCATACTTCCTATAATTTGATATATCAGTAAAATTTAGTTATCGCTCAAAACGGTTTTAAAAAACTTAGGTCGTCAATAACTGATGAAAGAGCATGATTGTATTTTTTTGTCTTCGACTAGGTGGATGAAGACAGAAAGAATTGGTTATCCACTTGTGAAATTAAAGATATCAATACATTTCTACCTAATACAAGTTCTTTTGAATCTTTACCAAGAAATATTCAACCTGAAAATGAGACGTATCTCGTAAGTCATTTAAATTTCAAAAATATAGCATCTTAATGTTGATTGCAATGTATGTATGTAAGTATGTAAGAAATCATCGGACCGCTGTATTCTATAGTGTATGATTGAGAACATTTGACCATGAAACTCTTTAATGTCTTAAAAACTTCAAGTAATCATATATTCATTATTATTGTTTGTTTACTAAATATTCATGTTAGGTAGTGTCTATATCTTCATAACTACTTCCCAACAGTGTAATATAAATTATTCATATTGTCTTCAATAACATACTCTCAGGAAACTACCTTTCTGCCGAATCTATGGTTTTTTTGTCTATTATCAATGTAAACTGGATTTTCTACAAAAACTTCATCACTAAGATGAATATTTTAATACTTTTAAGGAAACATTCCTCAGCAACTTGGAGTTTACTCATGTACTTAAATATATCCAATTTTATAACTCATTACTCTAATTTACAGATGATGTCATATCATATACAGTCCGGATCCTAAGTAAATGAGATGGCCGTCATATTTTGTGACACATGGATTCGTTCAGCATTCTACCATATGGATTACCGTTTATTTTGAATGCTTTTACTATAGACTGTGAATAGTCATAAGTTCTCAAATGAGGTTAATCGGAAATAAAAAAACGTTTCATTATAAAAATATAATTCCGTATAGCATGTATAAATCTTATGTTACAATTTATTGCACATTCGCTTAATAACAAAAATGCAAGATGTGATATAAAAAAATAATCTCTACTGTAGAAATATGAATTTTCAAGGTGAAAGTGCATTTACTGTCTTGAATAGATACCTATCATTTGGGTCACATATTCGTATAAGCTGAATTAGAAGCAACGATAAACCTGAAAAAGAACATTAAAGTTACCCTAACATAACTTTTGAGCAACCATAAGAGAGTATTATACCTTTTAAACATGTAACTTTGCATTATAAAATACTATAGAATTAGAGTTTGCTAATAGCTCAAAGTGAAACTATTGTTATCTTGATTATTATTTATTATCTAACGATTCAGTGTTTTACTGATTTTGTTTTGACTTAAAAACTGTGAAATGCACATAATGATATATTCGTTATTTCATTAAATCATCTATGAAAAATTAAAAAGCCTTAATATATAGGTTTCTGCTTAGATATCATTTGTAAAAGTAATTAGAATTTACCCTTGAATACTTCCACCCCATTTATTACAATTCATTCCAATTATGTTTTAATCAAAATTCATTGTTGTTATTTTTCTACTGACGATATCAAGAACTTCATATGATCCATATGACTTGAGTAAATTCCGTAATATTGCCTTAAGCTACAAGATGATCAGACTATACTACATTCTTCACTAAACCTGATGAATAAGCCGGTCTCCATTGAATAATTTAGTACTATACTAGAATCATAGTGTAAATGTTCACACAATGGTCTAAGTACATCATGCCGAACATTTTCAAAAGGGGACAAAACGTACTGTCTGAATTCTACTGTGATATACAGATTGAATTTCAATATTAGTTTTATTTGTTCCGTTCATTTATTAATGGCAATCAAGTCAAATCTAATATATTCGTAAATTATGATGAAGATACTTATAAATAATTTGGTTTTCAAGTCTATTTACAACCCTATAATTATAATGATCTTGATCGGAATAAAAGTTGACAAATTATATATCTTCAATCTTTCATCATATACTTGTTGCGAGTATTGCTAACCTCGTAAAATTCGACTGAAAAATTATCAAAAATATAAATGATTATTATCAGAAGGAGTTTTGTGGAGATCTTAGTAATTTGATAGTTGAATTAATGAGTCAATTGGAGCTAGATCGCCATGGAGAACCTAAAAGTGGATTGGTTGGAGTTAGATAATAACACCGTTGGATCCCGGCTCAGTGGTCTAGAGGTTAAGCGTTCGTGCGCGAGACCTATAAGTCCCGGGTCCGAATCTCTCAGGCCAAGATCATGGATGCGCACTGCTGAGGAGTCTCATACTAGTATGAAACGGCCGTCCAGTGCTTCCAGGTTTTCCATGGTGGTCCAGCTTCAATTGACTCGTGAATTCAACCATAAAATATAAATGATTCGTTAAAAATTAGAAATCACGAAAAAAAACATTGAGACAAACTTTATTTCAAGTTGTTCTTTCAATCGAAGCAAAATATTTCAAGTACATACATTTTGAAGAACATTCCACTCAGTGATATCTATTTAATCCTTTTTTATTACTAACATACACAATTAAAATCAGATTGCTAGAAGAGGTACATTTCATATTCTAGATATTCTGATATAATTTAAAGTCAGTTTGTACAGATATAATTGATGGGATGAATTGAAAAAAAAACATAAGTATCAAATGTCTGTTTATATATTTATTATGCATTTAACAATTTATTTACACAATGTACCTAGGTGTTATTTGAAACTCTAAGATACTTATAATCGTATTCTTCTCAACTTAAGTAGGCTGAGTAAACAAAACCTTAATTTGTGTAGATATTATCACTGTTGAAAAATCGAAAGTGATTTACAGTGGTGTATAAATGTACAAAAGCAATAAAAAATATTTAGGATTTCCATCAATTATGTACCTGTTTCAGCATGGACACTGAACTTGCTAAACATGATCATGTTGTTTGTTGTTCTCCGTTAGAGATATTGTGAATTACGTTTTACATAAAAGTTCAAGCATCAAACTAAACTCTTGAATTAACCTTCCAGTAATTTCAAAAAATCTTCTCAGATAGTTTGCTTATCTGAGTCTTAGTATGAAACTATATCCCAGTGTTTTAGTGTTTATGTTAACTGTTTACTTTAAAGTAGAGAATTTTGCGTTTTCATTTCATTCAAATATTATTTGTTGTTTACTCAGTGTAATAGTGAATTTTTGGTAACTTTACACTTTGTTTCAAACCACTTAATTCAACAAACGTCCTTAGTTTCTTTGACAAAAACTTTCAATTAAACTCACTAACTTGACGTTTTCTCAGATAGGCATCATAGAAACTTCCTTACCAACTTATTATTATTAATTTTGTCACCACAGTTTAACACCAAACCGCGTTATTAAAACATCTGTTCGTTAACAGTTTATCTCAGCTTTATTTCTTATCGTAAAATTATAATAAGCAATTTTAATCAAATTAGATTCATCAGATTTACAAATAACATTCAACAGATGTGATTATTTTTTTAATCGTATTACGATGTATTTGCTTTGTTAAACTATTGAAGTTATTCAGATGGTTCTATAAACATAGTTCTTAAATTGGAATCATTAATACGTTCAGTGAAACTGTGCCCCAATGTTTTCATTTGATTAACATTTTTTTATGTACAATGTCGCAGCAAAGATTTTAATAAAATTCTTCGCATAAAATGCATCTACGAATAAGCTTTAAAGTTTCAAGGAAAAATAAATTGAAATATTTGTACATCATCTGTACTTGTTTTTATTTAACATCAGATGAATGGAATAAATAAATCGAATGCTTATTCAGTTAGTTAGTCTCTTTATTGATTCATTTAATCCTGACTATTACAAGCTTATAGAAGTATTGCTAAAAACATTTTCGTTTACTAGATGATAGATTAATTGAGAAACATAAAATTTATTGTGTTTTGTTTTCCTAATTATTCGTAGTGTACATTAAGCATGTTTCATAATTTGAATTTAATTAATCGTTGGCGTATTTCACGGAGAACACTGGCTCAATTCATTCTGATGGTTCGTCGTGGTTACCGTACTCCAGCTTATCATAATTGGATGCATGCATTTTCTGTTGCACATTTTGTTTATGTCTGTATTAAAAATTTACCATTAGCTAATAATCAATTGGATGATATTGAAATATTGGCATTATTTGTAGCATCATTATGTCATGATATTGACCATCGTGGAACGAACAACAGTTTTCAGGTAATTAAATGCGTTTAATTATTGTCTTTCTTTTTAGATTGAAACTAAAAATGATTATTGTTCCTATCAAAAAAATCAAGATAATCAATTTGTTTTTGATACTGAATTTATGAATACAATAATACTTAAAATTAGTTTATTTCTTATCAGCTTATAAATCTCCTAACGATTGTGTTTTGTTTATTTGCTACCGATCTCAAACTTTTGACAAACATTTGTAAAATAAATGGAGCTCAAAAATCTATGAACGATATTCCTGTCGGTGATCACTTTCCCTTATTACTGAGTAGAATGTCATACTGACAAATTGATTATAATAATTTCAATTAAACCACATAATTACTAAAATCCTCTACAAAGCTGACATGATTTACATTGAAGTTACTGACTGAATATAGTTTCAGACGCATTTATTCTAAAACTCTTTGAAATCTATACTTATTCAAACCAATTTTTCAGCTGTATATCAAACAATAATTAAATATTAATTACATAAAACAAATGTAGAAGGAAAACCCATTCTGATAATAATAATCAACTGCTCACTAGTGACTGACTTCAGGAAAAACTCCCGAAGTTCTAGTGAGAAGCCGTTACCAGTGGAGTTCAACCAGGTCTGTTGTGAGATAGGAACTCACTGAAGACAATGGTGTACGGTGGCGCAACTTCGTGGATTGGTTGAAGTTAGACATTAACACCGTTGGATGCCGGCTCAGTAGTCTAATGTTTAAGTGCTCGTGCGCGAAGCGAGTAGGTCGTGGGTTCGAGCCCCGGGTGGTGCGGGGTCGTGGATGCGCGCTGCTGAGGAGTCCCATACGAGGACGAAACGGCCGTCCAGTGCTTCCAGGTTTTCAATGGTGGTCTAGCTTCAACTGACTCATGATTTCAATCTATGAATGTATATTATTCAGATGATTAAAATAACCCATTGCATTACTGAATAAAATAAGAATTCAGCGAGGAAAATTCTCTTTTCGACAAAATCATTTATTTCAACTGTACATTCATATTTATAGTTATATGGAAAATATATGTCAGTAGAAGGATAGAAAAGATTGGATGATAAACTGATTCGAGACTCTTATTATCAAATGAGGTTACGCAATAATCAAGAGATAAGAAAAGAATATAAGGACTGAAAATGATTTACGGGTCAGATAATTGTCCAATTGAAGGAAAACGACAAGCATAAAGGTCATAATAATGAAACTGAATAATAATCAAGAAAACTTGTTTGACAGTAATAATAATAACTGATTACAGTGTAAAATTACTAAACATTAGTTTAAAAAATCAATAACAAAAATAATATGAATAAAAATGAGAAAAAAGAAAGAAACTGGAACATACTACTAAAAGAAATTAGGGCCAAGGAAGGATGAGAGATTGGACGAATCGTTTTTGCACGCAAAGTTCGGGCTTGAGTTGGTAAATTGCCCTACCTGAGTTTTGTGATGATGATGTCGTTCAGAAGAACGATGAAAGCTCCACAACCAAACCATCCAACTCAGAGGACAAAACTCCATCAAAATTTCCTGGTGTTTATGACTTTTATGTTTGTCATTTTTCTTCATATCTGTCAATTGGACAATTATCTGACCCGCAAATCATTTTCAATCCTTATATTCTTTTCTTACCTCTTGATTATTGCGTAACCTCATTTGATAATAAGAGTCCCGAATCAGTTTATCATCCAATCTTTTCTATCCTTCTACTGACATATATTTTCCATATAACTATAAATACGAAGTAAATGATTTTGTCGAAAAGAGAATTTTCCTCGCTGAATTCTCTTTATGAATATTATTCAGTTATTTCTGTGACATTTTGGTACCCTGGTTAGCTTACTGAAGAAGTGAATATGTAATTAGACAAATACATTTTTAGCTACATTTCTTATCATATTTTATAGTCGTCCGTAAATAAATTTAGAATGAAAACTGTCAGTCTCATCGTAAGCATCTTTAAAGTACATTGATGAATGAATAATTATTGAAAGCATTTTATACCGAGTGCTAAATTGTTTCTGATAAAGTTGAGTAGTCAGAAAATAGTGTAGTGATTGTATGATGTTCAAGTGGGTTATATAAGTGTTTACTATGGTAAACAGTGTTTATTTAAAGTAACATTGTTTGACCGAATTAACTTAACTTTCATTTATTTGTAAAACACAACACTTTAGTGACGACAATTTATTACATTTCAGTTGAGCACATTTGTAAATTGTTTAGGAAACATTTTATTATTGTAAAAAACATACTCATCATAATATTGAATAGTATAATGAAAAGGAATTCAAGCTAACAAACTAATTCTTTGTTCACAGAAGAGAATTTGTAATAAACTTAACCTTTCTATGGCAAGAGGAAACTTAATGGGTAATTCTATTAATTCAATATAATCATTGATATATATATTTCTCATATATAAGTACATAAATATCAACGGATATTAAGGTAAAGACTGAAGAAGATTACGTTGGTAACAAAATTATATGTTTAAACATTTTGCCGTTGAGACTTGTGTTAGTGGTATTTTGTTGAATTCTGGAGCGATCGGATAATTTTGTTTCCTTATATACAAGTTATAACTTAATGGTATTCTTTGGAACTATTGATTTACGACTATAGACAGAGAGAAGTGAAATTTATTCATGTTTTTTATTCTATCCACATGGTTTGTAATGAATAACGTGTTGTGTTCAATTTTATTTTCAAAAATTCATTTTATTAGTGTAAAACTTTTGGATGATCAAAGATGTCATAATTTCTGCTTCAACATTATTGCAACTTTTTTTTGTAAAGAAAAAGGCATTATACATTTTGGTTGTAACAATTTGTTTTCCCATTTACAAATTGTGACCATAAATGATTTACGTTAATTATTTAAAAACGAACTATTAATCAATCTGGAAAACTTTAAATAATCTTGCTGATCTATTTTTGTGTAGATATGTCTCTATCTATTGTCCTTTTCCTTTGTCTTTTTCTATAGTGTCATATAAGTTCATCCAGTTCAAATAATTATCAACGTACTAGAGCATGTTTGATTAGGTTACTATATATGATATTTTCGTGTTTCTATTGTATTATAGGTCCAATCTAAATCTGTATTGGCTGCTTTATACAGTTCAGAAGGTTCTGTTTTAGAAAGGCATCATTTCTCTCAGACCATTTGTGTATTAAACACAGAGGGATGTAATATTTTTGAAAATGTTTCAAAAGAAGTGAGTCACTATCGTGTTTTTCTTCAATACAACTAATTACAATCTCGTTAACTTGGACTGTCAGAAAATGTTATCAGTTGTATTTTTGACATTTATAACTGAATACTGGAGCAATAATGAAATCATCTCTTAAGTTTTTACATAAAATTGTTATCTACGGTGATGAATTTAGGGTATATCCACCGACAACGAGTTATTCTGCTATTCTGTTTATACCTGAGTACACAATGGAGGACTATCGATTACCGGATTTCGTGCAGGTGGTTTATAGAAACAATATACAATTATTTGCTTAAAACTGAAAGTTGATGGACTATGCTAGATATGAATATATTAAATCGGTTATTACTGATTTGAGTACAGATATAACACACCTATATGATCATTTACCCTTTTTAAGTACAAACATATCACTAACCATAAAAATTGTGTTTGAAGATTTGGAGTATAAATACTTTAAAACATAAATTAAATTTATGATTATCGCTAGCTTAATCCTCAATAAATCTGTCTAAGAATATAATTATGTACATAATTACTTTATTAAATTCTAGTGATTATTAAAATGTGTTGTTAACTTAATCAAAACTGGCCCAATCGCATGAAACTCATAACTTGTTCTCACACTTTTTATTTTTTCAATCTTAGAACAAACTCATATACATTTTATTATTTACTGAAATAATTATGAAATTACATCATCTTAAGTAATTTTCAACCACAATCAAATAAGCAGTGCATGAAATTGAAGTATTTCATCAAGTTAATTCTCAGTAGATTATAAACCGTTTTCCATCTTACTATTAATTTAAATAATATACTTGCAGTTTGATTTGTTCACTAGAATAGATATTTCAATATTTTGTAATCAACCATATTGTCATATGTAAAATATTTTGGTTTCGTGCAAAAATAATGCATTCTATGACAATATATATGCATTGTATATACTTATTTTGACTAGTAATCATATCCTGGTTTAACATTTAGCCTGAAAATACGAGCTTTTACTATCAAACGTTTTTCATACACTTAACTAAATAATGAAATATTAAATTACTTTCTCAAATGTCATATACACCCTTTTAAGTACATTTTGTTTCTATGGAAAATTCATTATAAAATATTAAAAAATCCTTAGCCTCTAGGATAGTTTTTTCTCACTTAGAAACAGTTGTTAAAGCGTGAAATATATTTGTCACTAAAGTTTTGTAGCTAACGTGAAAAAAACATTTAAAATCAAATATCGAAACTACATTTTTTCAGTCGTTAAAAGTATAAGTTTCAAGTTTCCTCATTGTGTAAATGTAACCATATATATATATATATATATATATATATATATATATATATCAAATCCGTTCATTTATTCTTTTCATTTTGGTTATTTTATACTTAAATAAACAGTAAAACATCAAAACCTAATGTTCATTTTATTTTCTATTATTCAGTATAAATTCAGCATTTCTATAGTAAAAAAAATATGAAAATACCTTTTAACGAAATGAAAACAATTCGGAGTAAAAAAAAATGATGAGAGATACCTGTTTACTGAAATACTCCATATTGGTTAGAATAATTTACTAATTAAACTTAATTCTAGACTATAAATGTAGCATATAATTGATGGTAAAAAAAGCATAAGGAACTGTGTAAATTGTACAAAACTAACAGATTATTCATGAGGTTAGACAGATGAATGGAATTTCTAGATGTTCTGTCAAACGGATTATAATATATTTGATAAGTTTTTTCTCGAATTTTCAGTTCAGTCATACCTAAAATTAAGATAACAAATAGACAATATTTTATTTCATACACATTGTTCCCTTTATTATTTTAAAGAGAGCAAGAACAAAGATTGGTGCAGAATAATATGAATTCATTTTATTTCGTTAGGTTCTCATCAGCTGCTTACAACCTAAAATATTTGAAATTCAAAATTACAGATATTGACATATTTATACATAAGAGGGTGATTAAAGATGAATAAATGTATCATGGTGTAGCGAAGATTCCGATACAGTTAATGAGGTCATAAAATTGTTTCGAATAAATAGAGTTTGAGAGGGAAAGTTCTGGAACATTGAAATAGTGATTAGAACTCATGAAAATAGATTAACGGTAATAAAGAAAATATGAACTGAAATCAGTCAGTTATGTATGATGTAATTAGAAAGAGTTGGAGTAATGACGCAATAAATAAATAGAGAAATAAATGAATAAAAAGGGGGTAATTGTTACCAGGGTAAATAAAGATTTATTACTGTCTCTTTTTGTATACATAGATCTGGTTGTAAACATTTGATTGCTATTGCTTCGGTAAATTTCAAAATGTTGGAGTTTGATTGTTTGTTAATCACCTTGAAGGACTTTAGTATATCCACTTCATGATGAATTTATTATATTAGTATATGGATCTTAATTATATGTACATGTTTGTGCCTAGGTTTCAGTGATATAAAAAGCACTTTTACTGAGTACTTTTTTCGACTAACGGATTAATAATTGACTAGGGAACAAATTTTGAAATTAAATCCGTATTAATTGAGGGTTCGTGAACTATTTATATTGAGGAATATTACTGATCAGTCTTGGTTGCAAATGTACTTCCTGAGAGAACTGTTTAGACTGTATTAATTTACAAATTTGAGTAAACATCAAATATACCTACACTTTTGGTAACATTAAATCGAAGCAACCAGCCCAAGAGGTATACATGATTAAAGTGACTGAGCGTTTGCATTCTTAATTATTAACAGTTTAAAATTGCAAGACCTTATTAACAACTTTATACCCGTTAAACAATTTAATGGCAATATAGACCCAGTAATTCAGTTAATAATGAGTCGGACGTTTGAAGTGAAAGGTGCTGAGGTCAAATTTCAGTGTAGAAATCAGCACTGTGATGAAGGTATATCCACTTGATAAATTCCATGCAGGAAGAAATACAATTCTTCGATCCCATCGCTAATCAAATGCCAAACATACTTCTGTCTATATTTGTTTTGGACATAATTTTTGGAACTTTCTATTACTTTTTTCTTGTCAAAAAGCTTTCCAACATTATGGCATCGTATTTTTCCCTGAACTTTAATCTACAGGATTATGGTCAGTTGTTAGATCATATTCGTGACATAATCCTAGCAACTGATTTGTCACATCATCTTCGTATAATGCCGAAATTGGAAGAACTATCTCATAGAGGGTATGATGGGACGAAATCAGAGGATCATTACCTTCTTTTATGCCTCTTAATGACTTCAGCTGACTTGAGTGATCAAACCAAATCTTGGAACAATACAGTTTATGTCGCGAAATTAATTTATGAAGAATTTTTCCAACAAGGTGATATGGAAAAATCATTAGGACATAATCCAGTTGATAGTATGGATAGAGAACGAGCATGTGTGCCACATTTACAAATTTCTTTCTTGGATTATATAATTACACCACTATACAAGTAGGTTTAATTAGTCTTTTAGCGATATAGTCTATCACATAACGAGTGTTACCTTTGTCATCTATGTGCTCCAAATACCATTTTGATTATGATTTTAATGTTCTGACCATTATTTCTTCGTGAAAACTTATAATGTTGTCACTACTAGAATTTTTTGGAATCTTAGGACTCTTTAAATGATTCTTCGTCTCCATATCGGGACCTGGTTTGATGCGACCAGAGACTCGGAGACAATATGAAAGTGATAAGTCTTATCGATTGAATGCTATATTAGTTTCCTAAGCTATTCTGGTACCCCGAAAGCTAGAACTGCACAGCGGATTGAACACCAGAGAGAAGACGCAAGTATGAGGGAAAATACTTTACTCTGAGGTTCATTTTATTACAGAAAATATAGGGTTTTTATAATATATCTAAATGTCCTTGGGTCGCTGGAGTATTCTGGAATGCTACTAAACATAGTAGCATTGTAGTAGCTAACCAATCAGAGCTTCCGCATGTGACGTTTCGCTACCTTGATATTTCTGGCCAAGACTTCAAATGAACGTTGATTGGACGAAACACTTCTTAGTGTTTCTTGATGCTTGCTTGTCTTTTGCAAGCGATTTCTGGATCACCCCAACAGAAAGCTCATTTTCCTAGTCCAACAGGAATCTGTCAGCATCATGTAAATTTCATTTCTTGGTATGCAAATAAAGAGAAATCACGAATATCAAATTGGCCAAATTTGATACAGATTTTTTGCACGATGTAATTCGTCATGTATGTCACTGTGTTTGTAGCCATCAACCTTAGTACCTTCATGTGCGTATTTTCTGAAAACACATGGTATACGGTTGTTTTTAAACAATTAATGATTACATGTTTAAAAAGTAAATCCAGTTACTCTAGGATACATTTGCACTTTACTTTTTTTGAAATATTCAGAACATTTGAGACAAATAACATATAACTTTCAAAGTATGTTCATATATGTTGTTGACTCCCATCATTTCACCTGTCTTACATGAGAGTGATATTCTGTTCTCTAGGTATTTTTCTCATATCCATCCAATTAATCTATGTCAGTTTGATCACATTGATAGCTTCAGTAGCATAGATAGATTTAATCCAGGTTCAAACAAATAACATACAATTTAAGGGTATTAATTTCCACTGACTTGTTTTACAATGTCTAGATTTTATATTAATCTAATCGTTCATTGTACAGGAAATATGCGATCATAATCTGAAGCTTTAAAAATGCAAAAAGACAATTCGAGCTATGATAAACAGGATCTTGTTGCGAAATTTCGACATAATAATTAAATTTTGTAACAGATGAATATTGTAATAAAAAATCTCACTCTTCTTTGTAACATTTTTTTTATAACCATAGGGTACTGAACAATTTATATCCACAATGCTCAAGTATTTTAGATACTATAGAGAAAAATCGTGATAACTGGAAAATAATTCTTGAACTTGTCGAAAAAGGTGATATTAAAGGTAATGGTTCGGAGATTTTCAATCATAATCTTATTGAAATATTGGCTCAGTTACAAGTGAAATCAACAACGGAACCAAAATCAGTATCCTTGGCACCGTCAGTTGTACAACCACTTTCATCATATTCGTCATCATTAAAACCAGATAAATAAAATTAGTTATTTTGTATGATGTAAATTAACTTAAAAAGATGATTTTCCTCTTTCTTATTATGTGTAGATTATCAAACAATCCTTCATTTCTTTTTTTTAATCTGACAAATATATCAATTCTAGTGTAGGTGTACATAAATCAGCTGATCAAAAATAAACATATTAAAAAGTAACTTGCATATTTGTAAAAATGCCAGAGATTGAAAACAAAATTAACTCCACAGTTTAGCTGGACAGCTTGCTTTGAGCTTCTTTGGGAAAATGACCAAATCTCAGAATTATTAGGTTTAAAATAGAGATCAAACAACGACAGCTTTCATGATAAAATGTTGAAAGATGATTTTTAAAATATGAACATTAGTTATTTCATGTAAAATATTCTCAAAGTATAGTTAATACAGAAGTTTGTGTGTCTATGGAGATTTTTTGTGTAAAATCGTTGTACTTAGCCTATGATATGGGCACAAATTAATTTATCTGATTGACAGTCACCGGTCAAACTTGTCAGAAGATTCGCTGTAAGAAAATAACTAAGATTATGTTTTAATAGCTAAGTTAAACGAACTGGTTGTCAGAGTCGTATCTAAATATGATAACGGATGTACTGATTTAATGTATGTCTCTGCTCTCCACCAAACCTGAAATGAAAAGGGAGTAGTGTGTTAAATTTATGCTAACTTATTGATAAATAGTTGCATTTGTATAGTCAATTATATTCCATCACATCGATACGAATTATTTTGGTTTATTTACCTATGTAAACTATCGGTTGTTAATCTTTCTTTTCGAGAACCAAAACCATTTTGAGGGACTTTATTTTAGCCAAAGTCCATTATGTGTCCTGTTTTTATTGCAAGTAGCGCTGTCAGATTTTCTGTCACGTTTTCTACGGTTTTCTTCGTGTAAGAAAACACCTTGTTCCCACTATATGTTTGTGTTAGGAAAATATGCTTCTGTTCGAAGTTTCGTAAAGATACAGTCTTATCCAAAAATTATTTTCATTAAAAACGTAAAACAATTGTGAAATTATTGAAAAGGCTGACAAATGTAACTGCGGTTTTCTCTCAAATGCAGTCTCTACAGTCGTCCTTATATAAGAATCTGTTCGGCATCAAATCTAGGGCATATATATATATATATATATATATATATATATATATATATATATATACGAACGAGTAAATTGTATATTTATTTACAACAAATTGCATTACCATTACCTCTTATAAATATCATTTTCATTGTAGCTAATTAATGGGAAAAGTAACAATACATGCATTAGTTATTACCGTTATCAGTAGAACAACAAATGACGAATGATTACTCAACATCATTCATATAAGCTTATATTTAGTAGATAGAACTTAAGACATAATGAGTAACCAATCCCAATAATATGTGGTATGTATACATCAGTTGACTATAGTTATTGATCAACCCCTTAATTAACCAATAATAACTCTTCAGAAGTTATACTAGAATGAGTGGCCCCCAGTCATAACCACAAGTATGTATTCTACTATATGCTGACAATATATAAGGTTTCAAATACTGAGATTGTGTTGAATTTATGTAAACAGCCTCCATCTTTGGATTCATTCGTAGGTAACAGTAATGTGAAAATGAGTGAGAAACGATATGGTTAATCACCTTCAAGTTATATTATTAAATATCAGTATACTTGACACCAGAATTAAGCATTCGATGAAACACAATCATCACAGTAAACAGTATTTGTTCTACAACTAATCGGAAATGTTAAAATTGATAAAAATCGATTTATATATGGTACTTTTTTTCTGTAATGTCCTAATTTTTCCCTTCTTATTTCAAATGATTTATTTGACCTTAATTTATTATCTGATTATTTGTTCATGATGTTCAAAATACAATGCAACAATCACTATTGAAAGCTAAATGGCTTTTTTGGATTTCTTTTTATCGTTAACTATTTATTTATAGTCATGTTAACTAAATTTATATATATATATGTAATGAACCGATTGATGTTAGGCCACCATTGAAAACCTGAAAGCACTGGACGACCGTTTCGTCCTATTGTGGAACTTTTTATTAATAACATGAATCAATCTAAAACAAATGAAAAATAACAAGGTGAGATTAACATCAAATAATGTTTTGAAGTAAAAATAATTGAATTGAAAAACGTATAGACCGTAAGGTATCTCTGTGAATCAGATATGTTGCAAAATGTTTAGTTCCACTTCCTTGATATAAAAATGCTCTGTATCAAAGCGATCTAATACTCTTATTTCTAAATATGTCTATACTCAGATATTGATATTAATTTGGCTTGATCATTAGTTAAACGAGGGAATAAAAATGATGGAACAAATCGAGGTTAAGCGTTCGCACGCGAAACTGATAGGTCCTGGGTTCGAATCTCATCGGGTGGGATTATGGATGAGCATTTTCGTTTTAACAAAATAAACCGTATAAGCTTTTCTCTTATAAGAAATTTACATTTTCAAATTTAAATTAAACTTTTATTCAAATGGATAAATGTGAATTTGCTTAAGCATTTTGACTATTCATTTTAAGAATAATTCCAACCATATTAAGGTCAACCGTACAAAAAAAGAAAATGGAAGGAAATTGTTTATTTTAACTTTGTTTATTCTGATTCCTAAATACTGTTCGCAGTGACATACTCTGGACATTAAAGTACATTTTACCTTGTATTATTATTGAAAGATTTTCTAACCAGTTCATTTGATTTAAAAAGTAGAAACTTTACAGATAATTTTTTTCCCATTTTACTTCTTGCAATGCTATTTTCTGTCAACGATGGGTTCATTTAGCTGAATGACTTAACTTTAAAGCATTCATTATCACTAAAAACAATATCTGTGATGTTTACTATAAAAACTGATTGACAAATTATATCGTTCTGATTAGCTTTTTTTAGACAAATCGATTTTTTAATCTCACAAAATCTTTTTGGTTAATCAATAGTGTGCCTAGCTGTTTTGAGGTTTAAAGGTTCACAAGACAATAGAGACAATTATCATTATATTGTATCATATTTTTGTACAAACTATTTTCACTGAACAACGTAAAAGTAAGTTAACTTGTAATCGACTAATATTCATAAAAACTTAAACGAATACATAGAAAGTGATACGTTGAATAAGATCTTTAATTCTTATTATTAACGTTTCAGTTTGTATTCACTTACAAAACATCTTTTATTTAAATATCAGTAAATTCATGTAGCTTTTAGACATTTTATAGATAGTTTAATGAAAATAACATCTTACAAACAATATAGATATCTAAAATTCAAAAATAAATTTTACATTGGATCCACAATCACCAATCCTATATACACTAGGGATATGAGATAAGTTGGCTGTATATCATATTATCTTCCTGCTTTTCATTCTTCACAGTAATATCATTAACAGTGACATAGATGGCGCACTATTCTCATTACACGTTTAGATTTACTTTTCTCTATTGTATTGCATATTAAAATAAATTTATATGATTTCTGGTTATTCAATTGTGACATAACCAACAAATAGATTTACACTTTTATTCGGTAAAAGAGAAATGGAATTACCAGATCACAATATATAAGATTCATCCTGAATGTCTTATGAATCAATTACACAAAACAAATTTGTATCAATTTCAAGTAATCAAAGTCATTTAATGCGTTTTATACGGTGACAACATGAGAGATGAAAAAAAGCTTAAGATGAACACATTTCAAGCATATGAGCATATAAATGGCTACTAAAAAAATTTTTTTTTTCAAAATTTTCGATTATATAGTTATAAAAAGGCAGAAATATCTTCCGTACATTGACCAAACTGGTGGATTTATGCACAGAAAATATTAACTGCTGTGATAAAATATTTTATGAAATCTATTTTTATACTCATAGCTAAGTTTTTATAATGGCGTCTTGTTATTACTAAACCCATACTGTAGCTTTATACATAAATACAAGGCATTGTTCAGTCTTATTCCACTGTTAAAATTCATTGTCTTAAATCGTATTAACATATATTGGAAAACATTTGTCGAAATTAGGTAAGAAAAAAGGTTTAGTCAGGTACCTTTTAATGGCCCGATATCTGTCTCCAATTAGATCGTATGAATGATTGTTATCAAAATATACATCCTGGCTATCCTTGTATATAATCGTCAACTTAATCCGTGTTAGTGAATCAGTCAGTCAGTCAGTTACAACGTAGGACCAGGCACATATGTGCATCGGTCCAAGTTGCCATACCTCATTAGCACAGCAAGATGAACATCGGATTCATAAAAGTAGTTAATTCAATGGTGGTAATATATAAAAGAAAGATTGCAATAAGGATATAGTACAGGAGGAAAAAATTAGTTCGTAGAAAGAAAGATATGAAACGATTTTAATCTCTTAGTTTAAGAGAAGACAGAGAGTGTATACACCTACGCCATTGTGATCGATTCTGAGCCATGTTACCAAGAGTCTCCAACCATTGGTTACGATAGTCACGCGGACCCCAAACAAGTAGTCTGCATCTACCAACATGGCTCAGATTAGAAGTTAGTGACTTCAATGACTGATGCCACGTTTTGGTTTGGCCGCCCCTAACTTTCTTCCAACCATCCCCAACACCGGTTAGCATCGCGCATCGTGGTAATTGGTGTTTGGGCATACGTAACACATGGCCCAACCATCTCAGTCGATGAAGATTCATAACCTCATCAACTGATTTACCATCATTCCCGAAAACATTGCGTCTAACCTCAATATTACCTACCCGGTGATTCCAGCAGACGCCAGCAACATTTCTAAGGCATCTGTGGTCAAATACTAGTAGCTTACGAATATCTTCTACTCTTAATGGCCACGTTTCGCAGCCGTAAATTAAAACAGAACGAACTGCCGCTCAGTATGCTGTGTTAATGAATAGCGGAATTAAATAAGTTAAATACGAGACTGGATTTTTGAATACCTATATTTTTTACACTCATTGATCTGGACAAACAATCAAATGAATGAAGTGGAGAGAAGCGAAATTAGGCGCAGTTGAGAAGACAAATGAGCCAACTCCATTTAATTGTTTAAGGGTAAATATATATAAATTTATTCAATGATCGTGTATGCATAAGTGATACAAGTTAACAGCGTACACGTGATTAAAACTTCTATCGGTATATCCTTAATGTCTTTGAAATATATATAACTACTTATTCAATCACTGTTAGCCCCCAAATGCCCTGGTAGGCCGAGAGTTGGGAGATTCTGCTCTTCCTCGCGATATGCTCTCATATGGCCAAGCGTATATAGCCACTGCCAAGAAAGTCCTACTCAGTGCCTTCTCGTCGCGGGAGTTTTGTTTACGAAATTGAGAGGACGAAAAGCGGATGTCCGGCACTTTAACCGGGTTGGTGG